GCCGGCGGAACGGGGGCCACCACCCCGCCGCTTAGAAAGTCGGGCGCGTTTAGTGTTAGGGTCGCTCGTGGTGGTTTTAGTCGGTAGGCTATGGGCGCGCGATGCCACGCTGAGGGTGGCTCAGGGGATTTCGGTCCTCTGAAGCGCCCCTCGTAACGGTGGTACGCGTGCGCGTAGAATCCGACACTCCCCCTCCCTTCCTCAGGGCGGGGGAGTCTTTCGAAGATTTCCACCACGTTAAAAAAAAAAAAAAAAAGGTAGAGAATAATTTTTAATTCCTTTTAGCAATTACATTTCTATTAAGCGAGAAAGGTCAAGAAACATTTCGACTATTTTGCAACAACGTCGTAAAATTAATGCAATATAGCCGAAATGGCTTCTTAATTTTTCTTGCTTAATGGATGAAGTCACACTGCATTGTCACGAGTCTCAATGTGGCTCGAGACTCCTATTTGACCCGAAGGTGGAGGTGGATTTTGCGGCCAGAGCAGCCTGAAAGAAAGTGGTAAGTGTAATTGATTTTTACGTACTATGTTACTTCTATACAATATATAAATTGCATCTATGCATACAAGACAATATTTTTAAAAATTTGACTTACACCACTATGGCTTTTACCCCTCCATATGTAACATTATTTATAAGAAAATTATTGTAATAAGGAATTATAAGGAAACGCGTAATAAATTTAAAATTGTATGATGCTAATGCCGGGATATATTATACGAAATCAACAGAAGACGATTAAGATAATAACGGTGTTTATTATTTATCTATAGAATTTCACATTTTAAAAATTATCGTTAATTATTTTAAATTTCACATAAATGTGAAGGTTTGAATCAACGCTCAAATAATAGCTTCTTGCTTGCAAAATTTGACATTTATCTGAAAATTAAAATTATAAAATTACGATTATATTTTTCAAAATTATGAGATACAAAATTCGTAATAATTTTGAAGAATGTAATCTTAATTTTGTAATTTTAATTATCGTAATTCGTTATTAATTGGAATACGCAAGATGGAAGCGCGGCCGCCGCGGCCAGAATATCCCCTCCAGCTGGCTAGTTCGGACACGAACCATTAGCACGGACGCAAACCATGTGCGGTTACCGAGCGATACGACGTAGTTGAGTTGCACTTTCTCAGGCGGCGCGTCGGAAAATGCAACACAGTCTTTATATAGCGAACGAAACGAACGACAGTGCGAGGTTTGGATAGATGAAGTGCAATAAAAACGAACAGACTTGACGCAGGTACTTGATAATAAGTTATCAGGTGTTCGCCGATAAAGCGCTGGCGCCATTTCTTTAGGTGTCGACCTGGATTCCCGTCTCTAATATTCTTCCATTCAAATTGTAATTTCAGCAGGTAATCGGGAAATTCAGATTAACGAAATTAACCAGCTCTACTCCATCTGCTCTGTATTTTCACATTAATCGCTATACATTCATTTGAGAGCCACACAATAATATCCCTCGACTAATTCGACGAACGTAATAGGATGAACAGGTACAGAAGTACATGTCAGCAGTACCACAGAGAGAAACGTATAATTTCGAAGCGCATAATCAGATGCAAATAATCCTGTTATGTATTGATATGCAGCTCCGACTAGATACGTAACGAGTGTGTAATCAGAATGCAAATATAGCTGCAATCGCAGACACACAGGTGCGACGATAATAAACAGACGTGCCCCCGGCGAGAGCCTTCCTTCGGATTTCATCCGCTGACAGTCGCGCGGAAAGGGCTCGAGGGCGCTAAAATTCGTCGCAAAAGTTTCATATATTCGTAAGTAGATTTAATTCAAGCGGAATTTTTTCGCGCGGTGCGAATCGCGCGCAGGTGTGTGTGCACGGGCCGCGCGCGTATATAGGCACGTGTGTGCGCTGCCGCGTTTCGTGTCGCGCCTCCTTCTCCCTACCCCCCCCCCCCCCCCCCTCCCGCGCGCGTTACATCGCCGACGTCCCTCTCTACCCCTCCCCCGCCCACCCGCTCCCTCCTCCCCCAACCGTCCATCGCGGCATCGCGCCCAGCCGTCGTTCCCGTACCCCGATGTCGCGCACCTTGATTTCGTGATTCGTCGCGCACAGCGCACCTCTACGGCTCGCACGGGCATGAGACAGGCCGCATCGCAGCAGGTACGTTGTCCGCGTGCGTGGATGGGACGCGCACCGGATTTAGTTTCTCTCCTCTTTCGTCGTTCCGCGAATTCCGCGCGCTCTCTCCCTCCGTTATCTCGTTCGCGTCGAAGACGCGGACGGTCCGCGCCGGACGGAGGTCCGTCCGAGTCTCGCGCGTGGAACGTCCGGGGCGATCGCCCCCGCGCCCGTGAGGACGACGCCCGATCGAGCCGGGACTTCCGGGAGTGAGGACCCGCCGCCGCGCGACCGCTCGACGGCAATCGCGCGACCGGATTCCTCGTCGTCATTCCCGCGGCCGGAACGCTCCACGTGAAAATGACAGTCTCGCGTCTCGCGGGAGTCGCGGGTTCCATGTTCACGTTCCGGGGACACTCCCTTTTAGTCGAGCGAAATCGGCGGTGCGCGCGTGCCGACGAGCGCCGATGAGTGCCGATTAAGCGCGCCGCTAATTAGCTGACGAGCCTGAAAATTGAGAGTACGAAACGTCGGCCTTTATCAGACCGTATCTACGATCGCGATTCATCTCCGTCAATATTTTCGCGCTGTTTATACATACTTGCTGTTCTTACATTCTGTAAATAATATATTTAATCCTTAAATGTGCAATTTTTCGTTCTTTTAAATTTTAAATAAATCAGGACTGATTAAGGAATCCTAAGAAATATTTAAAAGATTCTTCTTTACTAATTTGAACCTTTTTAACTCTTGCAGCCCTTTCTTATTCTTTTTGTCCTATAATAGCGGACGATCGATGAAGTACAGGCAGAGAAGGCCCTTTACATGCAAAGCCGCGTGGTTTCAATTCGAACGAACAGAGTACACGGAGCATCGACAAGACGCTTTGCATATATACTAAAAATTGCGCATTTAAGGATTAAAATTGATAAATCTATTCTATAATGTAATATAAGCAAATAATTATCCCTGAAATTCTTATATGCACATTATTTTCCGCAGTCATGAGTTCCGAAGATACAACTGACAATGCGTCGGCACTGGCGGCAGCAAATTCCTCTGGCGTGGCCGCGGAGACGAGGACGTGGGTCCAATTTGAGGAGGAGGCAGATTCGAAGGTGGCTACCGGCGCCGAGAGAAAAGCCACCAACAGTAGCGCACCCGCCGTGATAAAGCCCGAGTCAGTTACCGTGCAGGTCGACAAAATCGGCAAGAGCATCGACCCGCCTGATATTAACGATAAGAGAACCAATGAGTATAGAGGTGCTGTGATAGCAACCGAATCCGTCCAGATTAACTTAGATAGATCAGGTTTAAGTCGTTCCATCACGTCCGAGACGCCGGATCTCAAGTTGCCGTCCGACGTTCGAGCATCGACGGAGGCCAAGAGCGCCTCTCTGAAGACCATCGATCTGCGGGACGTGTCCAACGGGAGAAACGCGCCGAGCAACGTTATAAGTACGTCGATCGGAAACATCAGACAGGGTTTCGCCAACGGCGACACCATCGTTACTCTCCTGCCAGTGAATACTAGGTGGCCGTGGATCACCCCGGCCAGATTCAGGCCGGAATTGGTGCCGGAGGAATTGATGGCGCAGGGATTAACCGTACGTATAAATTTATCATATCTATTTTCCCCCTTCGATGGCGCTACGGCCCGAGTCGGGGCTTGACCTCGTAATCTCGGTATAATTGCGATTTTTATGAGAAGGGTTGTGAGCTTCTTATTCTCTACGGAGCATCGAACTTTGATTTAGAACAATTTATTGTTGTTTTCTTTCCTTTTAGAGATAGCGATTTGTTTATCTTTAATTATATTGGGATTAATTTTATGTTTCGGATATTTTGTTTTCATCACGGTGAACTCGAATGTTTTTTCACTCGAAATTCCTAGTGTCGTGTGTATTTTTTGAGTATGCAGGACGACATTTTCGATAATCAAACTCCAGAACTTTTGTTTGAGCGATTGCTTCAGCATCAATGTATTTAGTAACTTATTACATGATATTACTTTAATATATGTCATAATTTTATTTTTATTAATATAAAATTCTCTCACCTATCATATTTAAGCGTATAATAACATTTCCATATACATATTTATTAATTTGATGAGATAGATTTAGTAGATCTTCGATCCACTTTTATCATACTCTACGTATGTACAAATTATAAGATGGAATTTGAAATATTAAAATATTTAATATAGAAATATTAGCTCGCACTTTCTTTTATGCTCTCTAAAGGAATAAAGTGATCAGCAGTTTAATGAAATAGATGTATTGCAGCTTACAGTGGAAGATTACGTTCACATAATGGAGTTACTTGTGAACGATGTACGCTTCAATATGTATAACATTTGCTACAAGAGGATTCTCGTCCTTTGGATATTTACCGCCTTCGTTGTGCTGCTTGGTCTATTGTTCTCCGGTGTGACTGGCCTCACTTTGTTCGGACTCGGTGTTATGTGGTTAGTCCTGAATGCAGCCGCAATATTCTTCTGCATGTTCATCAAGATAAAGCTCAATCACAACCTTGAGAAATGTATGGCTCAAGTTAACAAACATTTATTAAGGCATAAAATATTGCTGGGATTGGACGACAGAGGGAAGATATCCTGCCATAAAGTCAACCTGTGTTTTATATACTTTGATACTACAGATTGCGTTGTAAGTGAAGCTTTTATCGGGGTATAATTCAATATAGTTCATTTTTTTACATAAAATTTGACATAAAAGAATATTTGAGTTAAATAAATATTCACGTGAACACGAAGTAACGCTATTTTCCTGAATTATAATTTTTAACTATTTACACATGTATGTATCCGTAAGGGACTAATATAATGGCTCATTTTGTGACTACAGAAAAAGCTACAGGAAGTAATAGAACGGGAAGAACGCGAAGGTAGAGTAATTGGTGGCGATGATGCAAGCGATTTAAGTCGACAACGAGAATTACAACAGCGTATGGACATCGATGACAGTGACATTGTTATACAAGGCAGTACCACTACAAGAATCTCTCGTAAACAGGTAAATCGCATGATCTTACTAATCTTTTTGGCTAAATTACTTTTTATATTTCGTATATGCTTTTGATTTTATTTTAATTAACAACAATTTTTTTATCAAATTATTTTGTTGTGCGTTAATATTTTGAATATTTTATTAATTGGGCTAAATATTGAAGAGCTAAATATAAAAGCGCTATTCCTCCATTGTAAATCAATGTGACAATGTGTGAAATAAGGCAAAAAGTTGCAGCTTTTCTTTCGTTCTTTTTAGTTTGCTTTCTACATTGATGTTTTTCTGTCTTCTTCCAAAGAGTGTAAACATATACTTGTTTTGTTTTAAATATAAGTACAGAATGTAGATAAAAAGAATTTTTATTCGTGACATTGGAAACACCCTTAGCTCTTCAATATATGAGCCTTAATTGCTATATAAATTCGGCTTACGCGCGAGATTCGACGTTACTGACTGCAATAAGTTATATTAAATGTTTTTATTGTGCATTGCATTAAACTACCAGGGTAAAAATGAACAAGTATTCTGCCGTTACGTGCAACGTTGGGCGAAGGATTACTTGCGTCGACGTTTGGATTGGACAGTTGACGAGGAGGGTGGAAATCCTTCTTCGCCGCGTCATTTAGCGTCTGCTCTGTGTCCTTGTCAATATATAGAGGAATGGTTACGTAATAAGCCACGCGTTCAGGGCAGAGACTTTTGTCCTAGATGGAGTAGCTTTCTTAGAGACAGAGGCATTTGAGAGATACGATTGTTCAATGCTGCTTATAAAAAAGATATACATGCGGTTTCACAATTGCTCGTGCACGAAGGTTTCATTGAATTCTTGAGATTCAAGGAGAGGAATTGAATTCTCTCGAATGCGCATCACTATAAATATAAATAGCTTCCAAAGAAAACTGCTATATACTTTTATCGATTTGCAAATAACTTAAGTCGTAATCTTTTGTTTAAGATTAATTTTGTGTTTAACATAAAAGTGGCCATCTTTTTATTGATATAAAAATGAGCTAAAACGCACAATATATGAGCAGCTTTTTAATTTAAATTAGACATTTGTTGCGTGCTATAAAAATTTTAAAAAAATTTTATTATAAATTTTATTGAAACTAATTTTTAATATGCTTACGAGCATAGTGATGTAGTTATTCTACATCTTGATCATTGTTTCTTATTATTGTATTTGTTATATTATTTTAGGAATTACGTTTATTGATTTTATATCATTTATATGCGTTTCATTTTAAAATATTTTGAATGTACTTAACATTTTATCCAGAAATATCAAAACTAACTAGTACCTACATGATAAGTAGCAATCTGACTCAAAGATTGAGATTAATATAATTATAGAGCTATATGGAGAATAGAGCAGAATCGTTTTTCGTTTTCAGATCAAGACTCGTATTTACATTCCGTTTAACGCTAAATGTGGTGTTTATACACACGTTTTACTTATATAAGATAAAAATTTATGTAAAGATCACATGCCACCACATTTAACGTTAAAATTAAAGAAAAGATTTGTGGCTTAATATAATCCATAGAGATAGAAAGCAATGGATATATTTTCTATTTTATTTCGATATATTTCAGCATTCCAGCAAATTGTTTCCTTTGAGAAGCAAACAGTATTCAGAAAACTTTTTAGGGCTGTGTTTATCAAGCCTTCTCATTTATTCCGACTAATGTTTTAGCAGTAGTCTCCTCTTTTTATCAGTACTTTTTAGTCCTAATTATATTTAACGATCTTGATCTTGATGAAATATATTATTATACATATATATATATATATATATAATATATATATATATGATATTATGAAAGACAAATATACCTGTAAAATGGTGAACAAATAATTTGGTAACACGCATTTTATATACAACAAAACACTTATGACAAAAATTTATTATCAACCATAATGTCAGAGACATATCATTAGACAATTATTTACGCGAACTATACTATTAAAGGACATTATTTATGCATATCAGTTCTCAATAATTATATATATGATAAAGATATATAACATTTAACTTGTACTTAAACTTTGACTTAAACAAATTTGATAATTTCTTGACAGAAAATTGAAAGAGAAAAAGGTGTGTGGAAGAGAAACCACACATTATTATTTCGCGTCAGGCGAAGGGTTCTACTGAATGATGATGGTGTGTGTTGACAGGAACGGGCGGAGTTGCTGTTGCTGAGGTATGCGTCTCGATGGGCACGTCACTTCGTGCGACGCAGACTTGATCTGGTTATAGACTCGCAGGAACGTGATAGAGGCGTTACGGGTCTGTCTGTTTCACCGCGCCATTGTGTCTCCGCCCGTTGCCCTTGTCAATTCATTGAGGACCATCTTAAACACAAGCCGAGAGGCAAGTTGACGTTACGTAAATTGTTTCTAATGCCGGACTTTAATAGATGACTGCCAATAGAGACTGATATCACTTTTTTTAAAAAGGGCACTTTAGAATCATACGATAAAAATTTTGGAGAAAGAAACCACGCTGATGTGTCTCTGACACTTTAAACGATTTAATGTTGTACAGTTATTTGTTACGCAATGACTAATTCAATCATACTTGTGAAAGTACGATGTTAATAGATTATAAGCGCAACGTAATGAATGATTACGTTATTGATATAGTATTGCAGTATAATTACTTATTTGTGGTTTTAGTATTTTGTTTAAATTGTACTATTTTATCGTTACATAGCAGTAATGGAATGCAATTTAATGGGATGGGAAATTTATGCACCGAAAATTATCATACCGTAAAAATACGAGATAATCGTGCAATATTTTTATTAATATAAAATATATATTCTATTCGAGTAAAATTTGTTGAAACGATCGTTGAGACTATCTATCTTTATTATGTCACATTCCACGTGCTAGTAATTTATTGAAAAATTAATGCATTCACACAATGCATTTAAAGATAGATGTTAATGTATCGTGAAAAATGTTTCTTACACTATATCTGTTATTATTTAGAATTTCATTATATGTGTGCTTTCTATATATTATTTTATATATATATATTCACATATCATGGTCTTTATATCTAGCTTTGCTTTTACTTGCACTACAATCTTTGAGAAATTTTTTACGATATTGGTAGATATCAATATCGATTTTTTTTTTAATTTCACACGCAATTAGCAATTACGCTTGATCGCGTCATTAAATAACATGTCAAATCATATATATATATATTGTATACATCGTATCATATGTGTTATATGATAATACGTGATAATACTTCGCAGCTTCCAAAATATAATTTTAAGGAATACTGAAAATAAAGAAGAAATTGTGTCTCGATCATACTTTTCAGATCTTAAATCACATAGCGTTGAAACATTGAGCTAAGTTGAGCTAAGAGTAAACGAAATTGTTCACCATTTTAGAAGGTAAAATTTGTTTTCCACAATTTCAAAGTTAACGTTATTATTTGTCTTTTTCCTAAGGCGCGCATAACTTGCGTTTGTTTATTTCTGACTAATATAATTTAATTAAAGATTTTGTCATTATTTAAGATTGGGAGTTCCCTCTTCACAGGGAGTAATAGTATGATAAGAACTAAACACACTGTCGTACTCGATATACTGTTCGTCGTGTTTATCTCGTTTCTGTTTCCGCTTTAAAAGAAATTTTTTTCGAGTCTATTACATTTGCCATAGGTCTGAGGTAAAGCACCAATTCTTTTAAAAGTATTTATAATAAAAACAGGGTATATTGTGCAGATATACAGAGATATTATATCAGAGCGAGCTCGACAAATGTGTATTGTTTGATCATAAAAATGAATCCCACAAGACAATAAAATCTAACAATTATTTAATGTTAATGTTTTTAAGAATATTTTGGGATTTCTTTAGGCTAAGCATTATACATATTCGGTCTATTTTCTTTAGTGCAATCGTACATGTACTATTGTAAAGAGCAGCTAATCACGATGAAATTATTATTCAATAATAGTCAACGAAGTGATTCACTCAGTTATGTTATAAGTACTGCTACACAAATTAGTGATACATTGTAGGCATCACACTGTCGTGCGCGCGCGCACGCACGCACGCGATTTTAAATGTATTAGATATACACGAGACATCAAATTTGTTATATCACTTATATCCGTCCTAAAATCTGCATAGCTGTAAGTCGTAGTTAAGATGTAATATACTTTTATATTGTGTTTACAGAGTACTTATTGCAGAATCCACTACAAAATTATAATTGTACAGAACCGCCGATTCCTATATATAAACTGTAAAGCACTTTTATATGATTGTTAAAAATGTTGTGGAATAAAAATATATACATATGTCTATTCTTTAACATGCCGTGTATTTTTATGAGAAAACAGTAAAGCGATGATTAAACATTAATCTTTGACTACGTTTACACGTATAACATCGATGTTATAACTTTGGCGTAAAACGGGCCGTGTAAACGTAGTCTCTGTCTTCGCAGTCTTGGAGCTCGTATTAACATTTGTGTAATATGTATTAATATGTAACTAACATACTAATCTTGAGGGATTCCTTGCATGCAGCCGGACGGAAGATGATGAATCTCAGTATATTACCTCATCCGCATATCATCAGCACGTAATAATAATCTCTAATATTATGTAAGTACATTAATTAAGTTTTAAAAAACACATTCACTAGTGGATACAGTTTTAATTGAATAAAACCCAAGAAATTTTATATTAATATCAGAACATGAAACACGATTGTAAATATAATACGCTTTTTTTCAAATTCTAACACAACTAAATTGATTGCTAAACTCGGTTGCACTTAACATACCAGGGGAAAAATTGAATTCTAAATTTAGATGCACTTTGACTAGATGGATAATTTTTTTTCTTGCACAACGATATCCAATTTGCTGAAAGGTTTGTGCGTGTCGCGTGATTATCAAGAAGAATTCTATTGCTATTGTTACTTCATTAATTTTATGTCCAATTATTTTCTGCCTTGCATGTCTGATCACAGTGATCACTTGGGAATTTGCGTGCACATCTAATAATTGTTTGAAATAATAAAAAAGGGAAAAAATACTTAAAACACTACAAAACACTCCTATTTAGCTGCCTCATCCTGATAGTTTCAGCATTCAGCTCCTCTACACATATGTCTATTTTATTTTTTTCGAGTCTTAAGTATAGATAAAAAAAAATACTACCAACATATTAACAATTGATTTTTTTTTTAATTTGAAAATATCCTTTATTGACCATTATGTTACGACTCTATATTTTAAACGTTATATGCGTATCCTGATATCTAGAAAATTAAATTTAAGTACTGTCATATATTTGAATATAAATTGACGTTTTTGTTGTCTGACTGATACATTTTGTATATAATAAGCCTATGTGTAATACGTATAAATTTAGTGAAGAAAGCTGTATGTCAGGATACGCATATTGCGTTTGCATCTTTGTTATTATTAATACATATTAATCTATCGACGTGATTTTTCCAGGGTATCCACCAGGATTTACGTGGTGTGCCTACCTTAATGAACCTGTGAGCCGATTTGATATGGTACCAAGTTTCTCCCATTAGTTTCCCTTACAGATCGTGTTGATATAATATCATTTCCTTTACATTTATAGAGAGCTATATATCATAAAACAAGACATACCGTTACATGTACAAAGAAAGCTATTTGCGCGTTAATTTTAATTGTATACTTTAATTGTATACCTTCGTTGGCGCATTTTTTTTTAGAATAGCTATTTAAGCGAGTTTATATTGTTATCAGATTTTATAAACCTATATATTTTTTATAACTATATTCTTTGATATCAGCAATAACTAATCTGTTTTTGAGCTTCTGATCATTTTTTAAATGTTATCTTTAATATATTGCTCAATGGCATACAGTGTTTTAGTGGTTTAAATTATCGGTTAAAACTGCTTGATCTCTTATTCGGAAACTATTCGCAGAAATAATGAAATAATTTTCTGAAATAGTTGTGCGCACGATACAGTATTATGAGGTATAAATATCGTTACTCGTACCAATATATTTTTCTTGTATATAATTAAGAATTAATATAATATAATATCTTTACATGTGTAAAGATAGCCGCACATTTAACAGGCAACACTCGATAATCTCTCTCATTCAAAGAGTTATAAAAAAAATTTCAAACGAAGAGTGTGCCGTTTCATAAGAAAACTATAATACGAGCTATAGAAAACATTTAAAAAATATACAATAAAAATGTATAATTCTCACCTTTTTTATCATGTTATTCGATCAAGTAAAACATACAGTGCAATTTTTATCTAAAATAATTTTTGATAACTCTGAATAACTGAGGACTATCGTACGGTTCCTTTTAATTGGGCTATTTCGCATATCTTTAATACATAAAGATATAATGTAAGAGTAACCCGTAAGTTTTTACACGCAGGAGGCGAGAGCAAATCATAAATCTTTATAAATGTTATCCATAAATGTGATAATTATAATTATCGTAGCATCGTGCTACAAGTAGTGCTAGACGTTAAGTTGTTATTGTGCCTTGTCATAAATTTCGTTGAAATTGTTCTATGAAATACGAACCATTTAATAGCGTATCAATCTGTGTAACCATATACTGTTCAGTGTACCAATACGTATGAGCGTACGCAAACGCGTATCAGTGTTAAGAACATAAGAAGATTATTGACAAAGATTTTATCATTAAATATTTATTATACACGACATTACGGATATATTTATTCAATGTACTTTATACAAGATATTGGCGAATGTTTTTTTTTAAATCACAGACATTAATCAAATTTACATTGAATTATTAATTCAAAAATATTTTCTATGTAACAGATGAATTCGTCTACTTACTTTAAATAAGCAGAAGTTCTAAGGAGCTCCAGATAAAGATACAAATAGAAACATTATTGGCTAAAGATTGACAATGGCCAAAATTTTGTGGAATAAATTATATAATCGTTTTAGCGTAGTTTCTCGATTCGAGACGAATTAATTGTTGAAACTCAATACCGCCATGTGACTAGCATACCCTCGCAAATATGAATTTATTTCTCCCATTATGTTACCAGAGCGGCTTGCGCCTGCTTCCTAATATCGTCCGCAAGCCTCTTTATCTCTTCATTGTCTGCGAGCATTTGTTGTCCCTCTTTCTTCAAAGTACACTCCAGTTGCTTCAATTGCTGTTTGGTATTCAAATAGGTTTTCACTTTTTTGTATATATCGTCAGAGTTGTTAGTACCCGTCGGACCGTAGGTTTCCTTTTTGCACAAATCACCTGTAATTACATTCGTAAGAATATTGAACAAATGAACGAATGATTCGGCTATCAAATGTGAAATATAAAGAGAAATTAAACGCGAGTTTTTCCGCAGGTTCCTAAGTCAAGTGTTCACGAGAGAAGACTTTAAAATGAGCAACAGCTAACTCAACATGAATATCGCAAATGTTTACTTATGATTTTGAACGCTACGTCGTCCACCACGGCTCTGTCCAGATCCTCCAGCATGTGTTTATGGTCTGGCATGTGGGGCCTCGGTGGCAAGCTGTTTTTCTTGTTGGTGAACATCATCGTGTCAATAATGATACAAGGATCAAAATGCCAGTTTTATCCTTTACTTTTAATCCCGTCCTATTTAATGAAGATGATTGTAGGTTCGTTCCTAACTGTTCCTGCTGTATCACTATGGAAAATATCCACTAAACTGATTGAACTACTGAAGCAAAATCAATCAGACAGACAGACGTTAGACGTTGTTGATCTTCGTGGTGTAGAAACAGCGCAACAATTCAGTGGACCTGTTCTCTATTGTTGAATCTTTTACACTTTTCTCCTTTTCTCTCCAACGTCTTAAATACACTTATCTCGTTTTAAGTGCAGAAAGCGTAACACAGTGCAGCTGCGAAGAACTCAGGAGTCTCAGGACGAGGACAGTACCGAAGTGACACGGGTCGAAGTGATAGAACAATTTCGTATTTAGCGAAGGAAATCAGAAAATCTACATAAAAACGTGCGTAATCAGTTTAATAACTTGATTTTTTTAGATTATCAAAATCATCGATGAGATTAGAACGTTTAGAACGTTAATGTAGAAGAATTTAGTTTACTTATCCACGTGGTTCGTCTGTACATTATTTCGTTAATTGCGTCATATTAACTTAAATTTTCTTTCTAGATGCCGTCTGTAACGTTAAAAGATGTGGACCAGCAGAAATTCGTGAAGGCCTTTGCAGCCTTTCTGAAAAAGTAAGGAATATAAATGGAATAATTAGAATCTAACCTATAAGTACAACTCCCTAAAATTGGAAGCACTCCAAATAAGAAAAATGAGCAGAATAAATTAGAATCTAATTTAATTCATCTCGCACTTGCGATTTAATTTAAACTTGCATAATCTAATATTTCATTAATTTTTGTCATTTAAAATTATTATTTATCATTTCTTATTCAGCGCTCCAAGATATGTAGTTATATTTGACGTTGTATATTTGTAAAAATTTTAGGACCGGCAAGATGCGCGTGCCAGAATGGGTGGACATCGTAAAGACGGCCAAATTCAAAGAGTTGGCACCCTATGACCCCGACTGGTACTATATAAGGTGTGCAGCCTTAGTGCGTCACATTTACATTCGCAGTCCCATTGGAGTCGGCGCGGTCACGAAGATCTTTGGTGGACGCAAACGTAACGGCACTCATCCCAGCCACTTCTGTCGATCGGCCGGCGGCGTCGCGCGCAAAGCGCTCCAGAGCCTGGAGCAGCTGAAGCTCATTGAGAAGGCACCTCTCGGTGGACGCAAGCTGACCAGTCAGGGTCGCAGGGATCTGGATCGTATCGCTGCGCAAGTTAAAGCTAAGAGCAAAAAACAGCTTAAGCTTCAAGAAGCAATTGTGATTTAATATTCTTCCTCTGTAATAAAATAAAATAAAAAAATGTAAAAAATCTCTAAACTTTGTTCACTATACCCAACTGCATATAATTTTATCGCTCTGACAAAATCTATTGAATAATATCCAAGAATTAAAAGTTAAAGTTTGTCAGGATGCGTATTTTACCTGGATAAAAATTGCAGGGCAAGCAGGTTTAGAAAAATGTCCCGTGCAGTATCACAGCACAAATAAAAGGCATATACTTTTTTTAAAATAAAATGTAATTAATCGTTTATATAAGTTTGCATTCACACACGATAAAAGTTTCACTCTGAGGTTTTCATACAATGGAACGTGTTACATATTTATTATTGTTACAAATTACAAATTAATGTAAAGTATTACAGGACAATGATCGCTGCCATAAACTTGCTTCCTTATAATATTATCGCACACTTTATTTTTGATCCGTTCTGATATCAAGAAATAGTCTAGTCGCCTATGCATAAAAAATTTTAATTATTAATAATTTCTTAGATCTATTCAATTATAATCAATGATGTAAAACATTACGATTTATATAACACATTATATATATGTATGTATACACATCATAATTATACAAAAGAGCTTCAAAAAATAACTCGTATACTTACCATCCAATATCTTTACCGCGTGAATTGGCAAAATACGACCAGAATGTATATGCACCCTCTGTTTCGGGATATAATAATCTGAAGGTATCAACAAATCCGGCAGCTAAAAAGTCGGTCATATCATCTCGTTCTTCTTTAGTAAAACCAGCATTTTTAGTGTTTGTTTTGGGATTCTTTAAATCTGGAAATCAATAATACTAAGTTAATGTTAATTTCACTATTTCTATTGTTCCATTCACATTTACGAATTACTGATACTTCATGTTTAAAAAATTAAAATGAATCTAACACTGATACTCTACCAATTTCTTGATGAGCTACATTCATGTCGCCGCATATGATAACAGGCTTCTTTTGATCTAATTCCTCAATCCATTTCTTGAATGCTTTATTCCATTCCAATCTTTTTGGTAATGTCACCAACTTCTGTCCGGCATTTGGCACATCTGTTACATTATGTTCTATTATTAAATATTGAAGTAATATTTTTTTGGCCAAATTAGAGATATTGCATTATGGAGAAGGTATCATGTAATATATTGAGTTACATGTAGGTATAGTTCAATTTTTATGATTATAGGATATTAAGTGCGGAGTTTATCTTAAGAGACCTATTAAGGTGTAACTTACAAACATTAATCACAAAAAATTCTGGGAACTCCGCCGTGATCATTCTGCCTTCGCTGTCAAAGGTAGAATCATTTAAACCGTATTTCACAGAAATCGGCTTTTCCTTGCTAAACAAAGCGACTCCACAATAACCTGATTTCTTACCTATCAAAACACATTTATTAATCACGTGATTTGCGTATGCGCGCAGCACAAGTTTTTTAAAAAATATATCTTACTGTCAAGAAAATAGTGATGATATCCTGACAATTTGACTTCATCTGGCATCTTATCCTTGTCGCATTTGGTTTCTTGCAAAGCAATTATATCTGGATCTTCTTTTACAATATAGTCAGCTCCATGTTTCTGATTAAACACATAAATACAGAAGGATCGTTACAAGTACAATACATTAATTAACAAAAAGATGTATTTTAACAGTAAATGTACTTTGATAACAGCCCGGACCCCAGAAACATTCCAAGTACAGATCTTCAGATTATACTTCTTTCCTTCCTCGTTTAACTTCGTACATCCAAAATCTATCTCATCCAAGTTCGTATCCGTTTTATTTAGCATCTGCTTGGGTTCATTCTTCGCCTTCTTCGCGGTAGATGAATCACCTTTGTCGGCGCTTTTTAATCCCTTCGAATCGGTTTTCAGCCTCTTTGGGGTAGGTTCATCGTTTGTATCATTCGCACGTTTTTTAACTGAAGCTCCATTTTCATTTAATTTTTCTGTTTTCTTACCAGGTTTAGCTTTGGGAGAATCAACCTAAATTCAAGGAAAAAACCGATATATGTACAGCCTGCTACTTAATGTACAAAACTACGAATGCAAGTGACATAACTATCTGATGGACAATTAAACGTACATTTTTTTTTTAGATAATATCAATTATTTTTTATACTTTAATAAGTTTGTAATTAAAAGATTCAATTGTACATTATCAAACTCACATACAAAAATATTAAATACATTTGCTTATACGCTTGTAGAGTACATAATTAATCATGTGTACATACCTTTGCTTTATTAAGACGCTTTCGTGGCATGCTGAGACCCTGCTCTTTGCGAAGAGAGAATACTAAGGAAGACCCAACGATACAAACAGTATTAGTATTTAATGGCTGTCGAATTCTATCAACGCTACTAAATAATCTTTCAAAACCCGATAAAATCAATATTGCAAGTGGAACATCCCGGTGATGTATATATTTATCAGTTATTCACAATGTCAAATAAACACGTCAGTACGATTTGTATAAACTGAAAGCTCAACTTCCGGAGCTCTTGGCCTCGTCGCCGGAAATAATATAAACGTGAAATCGTTACTGCGTCACAGGTAACACATCACAGTTATAAAAGATTTCATTGTCTGTCCCCGATCGATAAATACAAACACATAGCCTAGTCGTGGCGTCTAACCGGGTCTAACCGTCCTAACCGATTCTCCCGGTCTTCCGGCTCGCAACCTGACCGAATCGCGATCGAAAGGACGACGTGGGACGAGAGTGGGACGAGTGGACAACGCTAGCTCGCTAATTTACGTGATACTTCTTTTTTTACAGACCTGAATAATTCCCGTACGTGTGACCGGAAGGGACGCAACGACGCGACTCAGCCTCCACAACTTAAAATTTAGTGCCATCCAGCATCCAGTAGTCCAGCACTAGGCGGGGGTACAGGGTACAGGGGGGTTCCAAACTCCCCTCTTGGAAAACTGATTTTCAGCTGTTGCTGACAACCGTTCACGACCCCGAAGATGGAAAGAGATACTTGTATTGGAAAAATAACACCTTTGCTCTTTATTAGTATTCGTGTCTCTTTTTGTGTATGTAAACTGCACTGCAGTAAACAACATTGTCAACAAAAAGTGTGATTACATCACTACATGATACAAAACATTACTTCCTGATGCTACTAATCTTTTTTTTATTTCTTTTTATATCTCATACTTTGTTTTCTTCTACATTTCATTTAATATTTAGGTTTTTTTTATATCAATTATTCAACAAGATAATTAACTGCAGCTTATATGAATCAAGTTGCAAGATGCTATAAACTGAACTCTGCGGATATCATTTCGTTGCCATCGGTAGTACGAATTCGACTTCCTCCCACAATTTCATCTAAAGATAAATAGAAATGTTGCAGGTAGCATTTTGTAGAGCTAAGTAAATGATCGAATGACGCAAGTGCTTACGAATTTTCTTTGAAATATAACATTCATATATTTTACAGGAGATTCATAGGAATGGGAATGTTATTGTCGAGTTACCTTTTCGGAAGATTTGAATAGTTATTTTAGAACTATTATTGCGACATAGTAATGATTTTCTAGAATGCTATTAATTTGTTAGACATACTTTCCACCCGTTATTATAGCTATGAGATGTATCTAATTCATTCTATCTCGTTAGCGTCATTATTCGCAAAAAGTGTAGGAAAACCATCGTAAATTGATTTACAGATTATGAACATATACAATCGATTGCCAGTTGGATATGAATAACTAGGCATGTTCAAAGTTAAATAAACGTCGCGCGCGCCTAAATTAATCCAAGTCTTTCAATGTACGACGTACTGAATAATCGCATGAGAATACTTTCCGGGCCGGGATCTGTAATATTTTCAGTAATAGTTTATTGTAAATCAAGTATATATAAAATAAACTTATAAAGATTGTACACTTAAATTACACAACGTCGCCGTCGCGTCAGAAACGGCCGGCTCTTCGCTTGTTCGCGACGACGGCGGTCTTCGGTATCCTCGAAGAGAGACTTTGGCGTTGCATCGTAAGGCAATCGCAACGATGAAAACCGTAAACACGAAATAGGACGTAAACATGGATGTACGAAACGTTCGCTTAAAAGGGAATGTATCTTAACGCGAATTAAATATCCTGGAATTCTCGATATTACTCCCTTATGTCGCGCCGTTGATGATATTGAGGAACCATAAGAACGCAAAATAACTTATAATGACACTGTGAAATCGAACACGTCATTTGTCATTTGTAGTAACGTTTCTGGAGTAAATCGAGATTTCAGGGCTCCTGATGTATTTACTGTAATTACATTGTATAACGTCACGATTGAAATATACACAGTTAAATCTAAAATACAAATCATATGGTACAAATTGCGCGATCGAATTTCTATCATCGATAGGTTTCGCCGCTATGATTCACGTGACCGTGACCGAATGTTTCAATCTTCGCGCTCGACATTCGTTTTATCATCGCTCTGGGACTTGGGGGGACTGTTTCTTTCCAAGCAAGATTTCGTTGAAAATCTGTCGCGGATTGTTCGTATAATTGTTGTAAAACAAAGCACTTGTACAGGCACGTTCAGTGTAAGTACTAATATCAATAGCCTCGCGTAACAAACACTTTAACGTTGTACGTCTGCAGTTATGTAATAGAAAAATCCTCAAGGCCAATTAACAATCGGAAATCGACGTAGAACGGGCCGTATCTATATACGCCTCATTCGTTTCCCTGAATAATGTATAAACAGAACTCTCTCACACATAATACGAGGCACATGATGTGATATAATTTCGATCTGTCCATTTCTTCCAGCGTGATCCAAACGATCTTCATTTCTCGGATGCGTCGGGATGCTCCGTCTTGATATGATGGGTAAACGTGTACTGCGTCGTGAAGCGTTTCTTACAATAAGGGCACTGATATGGCATCACGGGATGTGCGGATCTCAAATGCGCCACGGCTAGATCCCTCAACACGAACGGTGACTGGCATACACCGCACCGATACCTTAAAAAAAAATAATAATAAGCATGTCGTACAGAATTAGACTTTTCAGAATAACACACAACATTTTTCCAAGTTTGAAACATCTCTTTACCCGTTGACGGTTTTAATGAGAGTCCGTTTAAGAGGTGGGGGGATACTCTGCTCGTTAATTTCAACCTTTGGCTCGATAGGAGATATGTATTCCAGCGTCTCCGGACGCAATTTTGGCATCGGTTCGTCATCCGCTACACCTTTAATCTCGGGTGTCTGCATCTGTAAAACATAACGTTGCCACATAATATATGCCGTTATCGCGAATAATGTGCGGTTAGAGTCGTGCGGTGTTATCCGTTACGTACCGTACTGCCGCGCATATACTCGGCGTGCATTTTCAAGTGTGCGTTTCGCGACTGCGAGCTCATGAAAGTCGCGTCACATTTGGAGCACTTGTACGTCTTGTTGGCAACGTGAGACGGCGTCTTCTGCCGAGACTTCACGGCGACTTTCTTTCCAAGCAGTGCTCCGCCCGTGCATTGGTGGGCGAGCAGCGTAACTTCTTTGAAAAAGATTTTATTACACTTCGCACAGTGATAGGTTTTATCCACCGTGTGCGTCTTTTGATGCGCCTTATCCATGAATGATTTGTTGCAAACAGCGGATGTGTACAGTGAGGCATTATCGAGCGTTAGGCGTTTATGACAAGCCTACCGATCAGGAGGTAGCTCGTGTTTAAAAAATGCAACGACAATGGATAATAATACGTAACAATAGTTTTGCCGGAAGTCTTACCTCGTGCTTTGATAGCTGCGACTGTTCCTTAAACGATTTTTTACATACATGACACATGTAACTTTTGTGGGAATTGTCCGAGTGCGTCTGCAGGTGCGTTAACATTGTCGTGTGGTCGCTGAACCATTGTGAGCAAATGCCGCATCTCGCCACGTTTTTATGTCCACTAGAAATGCGTTTCGTTAGAGATTCATCGTCTACCGGGACGTCGTTCCTCTCCATTACCTGTGAATAAAAAAAGTGATCGTAACTTAAATCAGGAATTAAAAGTATCGTAACGACAAATTCAACGTCTAAAACGCGAGTACTCAGAAATAAATATAAATAAATTCAAGGTAATAAATATAAAAAAATCTATAAATTAGAGTATTGATCCAAGCAAACAATAATCTCTAATCACGAAGAGGAGAGAGATTGAACGAACCTCGGAGTAAGATTTTTTGGCACCGCGAGCTTCCCTTGCTTCTCTCGCTTCCCTCTCAGCGTTTAAGGCCTCCTCTTGCTCGACTGCCGACAAGGTCGGTGTCATTAGTGGTTGTTCATTATGCTCGGCTATTTTGTGTCCAGCCAGGCGTATAAGAAGTCCGAACGACCGGCCGCAAATGTTGCATTTGTGCTTCTTCGGTTCATGAGTGCGCATGTGATTCGACAATGCGCTCTGCTGGGTACATCTCTGTAATAGTAGACAATACAAAAATCATAAAGCATGTGAAACACGTAGGACTTCCATATAAAAATCTAATTGTGATTTCATTACCTTTCCGCAAGTAGGACACCTGAGAGATTTTACGTTTTCGTAGTACTGATCATCTCGTTTAATCTCTCTCGGTCGTTCCGCTATTTTTGTCACTATGGATTCCGAAGATGGCAATTTCTGCGTCACTATCGAGTTTGTTTGATGTAACTGAACGTGACTTTGATAAGATTCTACTGTAGGGAAAAATCTAAAAAACACGAATATATGTTTAAAATATTGAGAGAAGCAGCTTGTGAAAGACGAATGTATCTCTTAAAGTCGCAAAGTACCTATTGCATAATGAACACCAGGTGTTACTTCCAATCTCGGTCGACTCGGCCAGGTGATCGCGCAATCTGTGCTGCTTCAGCATTTCCCAACGTACGAACTGCCGCTCGCACTGATCACAATCATTCAAGTTCCCCGTGAAATCCAGCTCGACCTTCAAATGGTTACTGGCTTCGTGTTTCGCTAAGAATTCGACAGACTCGAAGGATGCGGAGCACTTTCTACAGGTATACACACGCGGACAGTGCAACTGCATGTGCTTCATTAGACTGTCCTTCGTTCTGCAAATTTATAAATTTTTGTTACCAAGCGAATCCACGACGAGAGCGTTGTTACAGAGCACGTACCTGTAATAACTGTTGCAAGGTGCACACCACCATTCGGAAGTTAACTTCGTTACGGACTGCAGTTGCTGATGATTGTTCATCGTCAGACTGCCGGTCAGTACCTGTTCCAGAATACTCGTTCGTTTCTCTTCCTTTTTGACTTGATAGTCCAATTTAGGAGCTCTCGCTCCTTCCATATCGGACTCCGCTTTTATCTGTATATCCATGCCAAACATCTCCGACAGTTTGCGCTTCTTGTTCAACGTCTCGCTAACGGCGGTTTCGGCACTCAAAATTGGTTCCATATTCATCTCCTTGATCTCCACCTCGCATGGCAATTCGGACAAGGTCTCCATGCAGGCATCCTGGATAACCTGATTGATCGGTGTCGCCGAGTCGTCGAAGGGCAGGGTAGCTGACAAAGGAACTAACGGCGGCGGAGCTCTAGACTTCTCCTTGCAGAGCTGTACCTGGCGTTTGAAATAGCAACGGTTAAAGAAGGCATCTGCTATGCAAATTGATTCTCTTTGCAATAAAACATTTGCGATTATCTCTCCGAAGATCCCAGTCAATACGGAGCATCACAGTTACATTATATCAATGTTATAATTTTGGTACATGTGCTGTCAAATTGTAAGGCAAATAAAGGCGGGACGCCAGTGTTAAAACGAGAATATATAATACAAAAAAACATGTGCTATTATATCACATTTAGTTTGTTGCAAAATTATAACATAAAGTAATTTATCTTCTGTGTTGAACTGGACAGATTATAGTTTGACGAACCTGGCAAGGATCCGACGAGTTCTTCATCGCGTCGAGGTATATCTGGGCGGACTCCGTTTGCTTGTGCCTCAGCAAGACGGCCTGCATGCTCCTGTAGACGTTCAGGCAGTACTGCCTGAACTCGTACGCGTCGTCCAACCTGGCCGCGCAGAACTGACAGATCTGCTTCGGCAGCGGATCGGTCTTGTACACGAGCACGGGCAGGCAGGCGCGCAGCTTCTCCACCACCCTGCGCTGCATACCCTCGTCGCCGAAGATGGGCAGCATCTCGTTCCTCTCCTCCGAGCACAATCGGCAGACCCTGTCCCACTTGCTGCCCGCGGCCATCGTGTAGAAATTCACGTTCATCGCGAAGGGAAGGTGAGGAGCTCAGGAGCCACGCCGTTCCCCGTCGGAGACCCCGAGACTCCGCGATCCGCGAATTGGAGGTTAGCCGACGAACCGCGCCGTGCGCGACGCTGGCATGACGGCCGGGGGGCACGGGGGGCGCGCTCGCGCGGGCATGCCCTGGCGAGTGGCGACGTTCGCGCGGGAAGAAACGCGAGGACTGCGAGGAGCACGCGCGCACCTGGCACCTGGTCCGAGGAATCGAGCGGCTAGCGGCTACTTCGCTTTCACCTTCCTTCTTCGCTCAGCCTTCTCGCCTCCTCGGTGAACGTCAGTGAACGCAACGGAGCAACGGAGCTGCGCGAACCCGAACCGGTTCCACGCGCGTGGAGGAGCGCGCGCACGCTCGCTCGCCGTTCACCGACGTCCCGTGGACATCCCGCCCCACGAAGGCGAGGAAGAAGGCAAGGTGCCTGGCGTCGTCCTAGCGCTCGCGAGACTCTCGCGCGGGGCCGTTCGCATCAGGGCTCCTCCTCGCCATGCGTCATGCGGAGTATGCGGACGCCACTCGCCACTCGGCACTCGGCTGACTCGGCCACTCTTCGCTTCGGCTTCGCCAGCTCTCCTCAGCCTCTTCCACTCCTTCCTCCCTTCTCTCTCTTTCTCTCTCACTCTCTTCGGCGTTGCTGTTGCTCGGGCCCCGAGCCTGCTCGAATCGGAGCTCGGAGCCGCCGTCGCCGTCTGCGGATAAGCGAGAAATGGGACACCTTCTCGCGACAACCGTTTTAGGATCGTGACGTCAACGACGACAAGCGAGACGACAGGCGAGATCCTCCGTGCGATTCTCTCTGATCCTCTCGCCAGAAAGCTAGCAGCCACCACCTTAGACCTAGGATATGACCTTCATCCGGTTGTCTTCTTCTGAAATCCGAGATCTCGGCTGTTCCGGCGGGGTGACGGCCAACTACTTCCGGGAATCTGTCTACTCACCTTCCTCACGTTAAACATCAATAGTCTCAAGATTTCGTTGTCGTTTCGTCATTAGAGATTAGAGTTTCCCCAGCGTTCGCACCTTCAGCCTTCTCTGAAAATTTCGCTTTCAGCATTACTCAAGATGGCCGATGCAGTTGTTGAAGATCTCTTGCAGCTTCATTCAGGCTGCAGTCCATTTGATGTTATAATAAATGCTTTGAAGCCTTCTTCTTTCTTTCTTCATCATTCTTCATTGAAGGAAAGAGAAGTGGACTGCAGTCTCAGTTTCTTTACTTAATTTCGCGACTGAAAGCAATTGCTGTTCAGAGTCAAAGCTATGATTTAAAGGACACAATAAGAAAAGAACACTTTATTTAATCTTATACTATTATATCTTTTACAATCGCTTCTATTTTTAATAAAACTTGCGGCAGCATTGATTGACCAAGCTCTTTTGTTTCTTTTTCAAGTGTAATCTTTATTTCTTTCAACGTAACATAACAGATTATTAATGGTACAAGCGAGTGCACTGCTAAAATCGCAGTGAATTACAGTATCTGTCGAATATTTGTTACATAAAAGCGACACAACTTCGACAAAGGTACATAATATTTCTCCGACACTAACACTAACCGCGTTAGTCTGTGAGCCGAGAAAATATCTTCATATAGTTATACTATCCTGACACTCACAAACCGCTAGGATAAAAAAAAAGGTTAAATAATTCGTAGAAAAATTTAAGGAATAAACATTACTAAAATCGTATCACCGACGTTTTGTATAACTGACGTGTATAATATATATATAAATGTACATAACTAGATTTATAAACATTTCCTTTTATGTTCAATAAACAACAGATCCTTGCACAAGCCCTTGCTCTAAAGCAGTCAGAATGAATTTATTCGTATATAAACTACTGGTGGCTTAGCACCGAGTAGTAACTAATACTGCGATACTAATTATCCTTTCAGAAATGAATTACAATCTCGAAGTAATAGCGACGCAAAATAAATCGAGCTAGTGTGTCTAATAATTCGACGCTACGTTACTGTATATTATATATGCGACTTGCAGATTCGCACGCTTTCAAAATGCTGCGTATAAAAAAATAAATCCGCTGTGTAAGCCGTCGATTTTTTTCTTTTATATTAGATACATACAAGTCGCGAGTATATAGAATTTATAATATAAATTTATAACATTGATATTATGTATATAGATATGAACATACATAGATATATATAATATATGATATAAATTTATAGTATAAATTTTATATGTCACTTTATATAGCACTTTTATTGACACGATCATTTATTATTGACAAAGAATATCTACCAATGTGATTCTGCCATCTCATTCGTTCGTTATTTTATCGGTTGGTTTATTTTATCGGTCGAAAAACTGAAGAAAGAACTACTTTGGATTAAAAGAATTACTTTAGTTGGAAAGAAAAGATCTTTTAGCAATATACAAGCTCATTTGCGAAAGGTAGTAACAATATGTGTCCTAACGGGCAACTTTAAAACTTTTATTGAGCAAAATAGACAACGTACATTTTTTCTCGTTATATATTCCATTATTTTGGATCTGTTTTCTATTGCTGAACTGGCTCTGCACTATACTAGTTCAGAGTTTCTCTTTTTCCTTCCAATGTGGAGTAAAAAAGATAAACTCTGAACTAATGCAGCCAGTTCAGCAACAGAAAACAGACCCCTTATCTTCGAGTTCTTATATTTTTCCTAACTGTGTGCAGAAGCTTGCACGGGCATGCCGTACGGAGTAAGTAGATATTCTTGGTATTAGATTTTTCTCAGTATATATTAATTTCTCATAAAAATATAATGTCTTATTTCAAGCACATGTTATTTATACGGCGTATATATTATACTGCATTATGTAATATCGATTTATCGGTTTACATATAGCAAAGTCTGTTCGTTAAGATGAAGAGCGTTCGGCAATAAGGATAACTTTATGTTAGACAACTAAGATAGAAGTTCATAAGGTCTTCACGGTGTGCCTTCCTGATCAGGTAGTTCGAAACGCATAAAAGCGAGCGAGCTGCTTCGATAACGCGACGAAAGGCAGACTATGGCTTGATGACGCATGCGGGAACAATGCAGGTACATCGTCGAAAACATAACTGGACCGTCCCAATGTATCTTCACTCCACCCCGCCTGGGGTTTCACTGTGAAATCTCATGAACTTCCACACCTACAATCAATATTCGCACACTTCGTATTGCAAGCGGGGGGAGGGGAAGGGGGCATTAAGTGAATTTCTATCTCTCCGTTCATCCATCTTTCATGGTCTGCATTTCAGCGCGGGGTTTGCTACTCAGACCTGTGGAGATACCTCCTGCGATCTGTCACTTTAAATTGCACGATAACATGGGAAGTTAAAGAAAAAGAAATAAAGCTATCGGCGGGAAAATTATGACGGTTGTGTGTCAGAAAATAGTGGGAAGACCTTGTTCCGTATAAATATTATGTTACACTGTACACGCTCCATACAATTTTACAACAGCAGGCCAACGAGCGAGTTTAGCTTGCCATATTATACATGCTGATAACTATTCACAACCGAATGAGGAGACAAATCGAAAGCTTAATCAAGTAAAAACCAGTAACAGAAAATGTCGATTATTTTACACGCTTCAAATTCACTCCTGATTCTTAATTATAAAATAAATTTCCTATTTCGTTCACGATCGATTTGTCCATTTAATAGCTCTCGACGTATCAATCCTTTTTCTCCTTGTGCGACTAAAACTCGTTCAAATATTCGTTTGTCCTCAGATTTAGCATACTTTTCATTGATACAGAATAAATTTTCTCTCTTTTTTTTCTTTATTTGTCAAGCAAACGCTTCGAAACATTTAATAACAGAAGCAGTTGGCGCGTTTTCTGGATGTCTGTATTCTAATTGTGCCACATTTATACAATATAATATTTACGTATAGAATTAAGTGCGGCGAACTTCCTTGATACCTTGTATATATTTTTTATAAATATATCAAAGGATAAAGCGTCTTAACGACATTTTTTTCCCGATTGACGAACGAATATTACTTATACAGCTTCACTATAGCATCCTTACTATCTCGCTGGCACGGCCGGCATTTTCTCAAGGAAGTCCTGCTCGATTACAGTCTCCAGTTGCGTGTTATTTATCGGCACGTATGTGTCGCACGTAGCACGACTAAGGCTTGAGAAGAAATGGTGCAGATCTTGCAAAGAGCGAACGTTATTCGACGTTAATAGAAGCTCCCCCGGATTCCTTTTCGGCGGTGGACCTTCTGGCTTGAACTGCAAAAAGAGATCGGTATAAGTTTAAGAAAATAATAAGAAAAGAAATATCTCTGTTTGATTATATATTATAAAGTAGCAACGCGAAACAATATGCAAAGAAAAGTTATATTTGTAGCACCAAATGTTGCACAATACCGCTCGACTCGAGATCGCGCATTGGCTTAGGTACAAAAACGAATATATATATGCGATTTCTCACGATACTAAAATAAAATAAGTATTTCAGTATTGCCGCAGTGGTGCTACACCAAGTTCCTATAATTTTCATTCTCGTAACACATATATTAAATGTAACGAACGCAAGATCTGAATAACCGTTATTTGGTAAAAATTTTTATATGCTTCTTGGAAAAAAAAATCTAATTAAAATACACAAGCGACAAAGTTGGATTAAGTGGAGTTTTTTCGTAACGTAGCAACAGCAACGTCTTTAAGTGGAAGTAGTGGAACCGATATAAGAGCAGGGACACAGTGATAATTGAGACTATTCGTATAGTTTAATCCTAACAGTGTACACCGAGTTTGTCGAGACAGTCTGTGCAGAAGCGATCACAGCGATGACCTGGCTGAAAATCTTATCTTATTACAGTCTGAGCACCGTAATAGTTCTTTCTGCACGTGCGTACTAAAGCAATATGATCATTTAAGAGATACACGATTCATATTTTTCTTCTATCTCCTTTTTTCAAAGAAAAACATAGACTCATATAAAGTGCTTTCTCTCTGTTAAATCTCGAGTATTTTATTTCACGTTCTTTCATTTATACAGAATGTATAAATATAATCCTGAAATATTTATGGACATAAATGTTCATCTTTTTCGTTTATGATTATATTCTGAATGCTCTAAATGGTTTTAATGTAAGTTAATTGATGCCAATTGTTAATGAAGGGATGGCTGTGACGGGACGGCCTTTCCTGCCAAATTAATTTAATTACTTCCATTTCCTTCTAATAAAAAAAAATTATTTAATTTTTTGTTCTGAGTTCTTTAAAATGAGTCTTTTAAACATCAGACAAATAAAAATTAAAACGTTTAAATAAGAAGCGACTTATAACATAGCGATCTATTTCATCTTCTCCTATTTTAATAAAAGAAAAGTAATTAATTTTATTTACTTTTAATGTGCGTACTCAATTAATGAATATTGCGATAATTTAATTATTGCATTTATTACAGAATATACGGGCGACTCCGACTACAACGATTTTGATTTCTATGAAGATTTATCAACGGACCACTCGAGAAATATTAATAAAGAATACAATGTCGCGCAAGACAATTTTTACGTTGCAAACGATTTCGACGATGCAGAATATCAGGACGGCGCGTATCCTAGCTCAAACTTCGCTGTTTTTAAAGACAATATCGGTTCTTTTGAAAGGAGTCCCTTCAATAAGCAGTTTGACTGGCACAAACTGCCCGAGAAAGTTTACAGATACACCAAACATCGAATTCCCGGGTACGACTACGACGAATTCGGTTACATGCGTTCTAAGAATATTCAGGAGTGTGACGACAGATCGGTCTGGACGCATTGTCTCTGCCAATTCACATGTTCGAAACCGGATGAAGTAGACTGTTACACGCCATGCAGAAGCGGATGCGAGTGCAAGGAAGAGTACGTTTTTGACGAGAAAATACAGAGGTGCCTGTTACCCGAGGAATGCTCGACGAAAAATTACAATTACAATTACTAAACTTTATATCGACATATATTTACGCTCTCAACGTTTATTGAGTTACTCTTCTTCGCAATTGCGGGAAATAAGGTTGACTGTGTATCGTGTCGCGAAAGCATCAATCGTGGTAGCTCACCTTACTGTCCATCAATTTTGCTATTCTCGTAATATGCGGCACAAAGTCTGAAGATAAGTTATTGTTATCCATACAGCCTGCCGCTGCATCTCCGACAAATGCCCATTTATACCTGTAAACAAGCGGGACAATACAGATTATCTCGCAATGAAATACGCGCCTCCCGCTTCAAAATCTTTCTCTCTCCGCTTACATCTGAAATTGTGGTAATCTATGCGCGTCCAACAGCAACGCGAGGTCTAACAGCTTAGCGGCAGCCAGCTGCAGTTGCAACCAGTGAGGATGCCCGTGTGCCTGAAGTCCGTTGCTGGCGTTAACAGCCCACGACGAGTCCAGAGCGGACAACAGTTTGATGTGCGAGCTACAAAGAAATGTAAATGCTGTGTCATTTAGATCGCGGCAAAGTGAAAAAGTTTCTTGGGAACTTTAACTGATTCCGCAAGATATAAATAATATGCAATATTTCCCCGCAGAGCTCGATCAACAAGATACAAGAATGTTATTAGTAATACCCTTTGACATTCTCGACATTCTCGACACAGTGGTGTAAAGTCTTTTCTCCTGTGGTCCTAGTTATTCTTTTGAATATTTGTATCTAATAAGGCTACGTACTTTTCACAGCAAGTACTTATATTTAGTTCTTTGATTATTTATCCGTTTTTTAAGTAAATTCACCTCTTTATACTTGAAAGCAGAAGTTTGTATAATGTAAAAATAAATTTAATATAATATAAAAATAATTTCAAGCATCGTGACTTTATTCTAAACATACTCCTAGACACTGTAACTAAAATATATCTTTTACATCACTGTACTCGAGCGCCCTTACAACATTAACAGTATGCATACGCGTGCGGTATGTCGAATATGCATTGGACCATCGAGTTACCTGCTATGACGACTGCCGTCCCAACACCATTCAAGTTACGGAGGCACCACAAATCCCATCAAATCGCGAAGATGCCGAAACAGAGCCAAAAACAGTACGATATTAGATAGTATCCATGTTAGTGGGGTAGACATACACAAATATTATGCTATTTAACATCCTTTATCTCTACACATATATTTCCCGAGAAGTAAATCGCATACTTTTGTCTCGCGTTTCTATTCTACATATTATAAGATTGCGGTTTTTGTCGTTTCGAGCATTTTGAAAATATTGGTGAATATCATCTCAATATTGATCCCAAAATTGATGCGAACCATCATCGATGCCAATATACTAATAATATATCTGCATAAAAAGATTTTCATTATAGCGTTCTTTTTCGATGTTCACGAGTCTTGGAGACAAAACGTAAGTTTTTGAAAGAAGATTAAAAGAACGAGAAGAGTACTCTCGACTCTCGATACCTCAAGATAAATAACTGCGTATTATAAATAAACGTATACCATGCACATACGAAGCAACAGCGTCCCATAAGCAAATTTGCTCAATAAGCACACGAATCAGAAGAATTTACGTACCTGAATTCTTCGCTGTCTGTACTCAATTCCTGTTCAATGTAGAGGAATACTTGAACAAGCTCGCTAACTATGACCGGCCATAAGGATGTCGCGTGTTGTGGTGACATTCTCAATAGCAGTACGCGAAAACAGAGAAACACTTGCGCCTGAATAGACGGGATTACTTGGGGTAGGCGTAAACTGTCTGCTAAACGTTCTGAAAGCAAAACAATCAGTATATATGTGTATGTGTGTAAAAACCTATAATTATACGTAATACATTTTATATACTCCGCGAATATTCACCTTGTATCTCCGGCATATATTTGTGATACTGATCCATTTCGCTGCAAAGAATGACGAACGCCAGACGTTTCAGGAGCTGTGCTTTCTGCTCGTACTCCTGTTCTTTCGAAGAAAATATACTGATCCCGCTGCCTTGAGCCATGGAGACGCGATCTATTTAACGAAACAGTCGTAATGTGTTAATTTTTATGATTATGGTAGACACACGTATTGAAAGTGTAGTAAAATGTGCATTACTCATTAAATCTCTAAAGGTAGTATTGTCGTGTGTCATCAAATTGTCTATTATGGTTCTCCAATACGGTAGACAGGCCGGTATCATTTGGAAAAAGGCCGAGTCGAGCAACAAATCTAAAACGTCCTTGCGCCATGCCTTTCTCGTATACTGATATCCCGATAAGGAAGCCAATAGTTGAGAGCAAGCGGTGAACGAGGCGATATTTTTTATCCTGTAAAATTAGATAAAGTAGGCAAAGTTCTCAAACGCTGTTCTATCTTATCCGAATCTCAAAGAAATCCAAAAAAAATTTCTACGGTTAAAGAGCGCAGCCATTTTCTAAACTTACGTGTGATTCTTTAGGTAAGGTGTAACATTGTACATGAGATTTGTCAGGAGCGTTACCACGCGCTCCTTCTCTTGCGAACCGTAACCAACATCCAACAGTGGTGCGAGTATTTCCGCTAATACCGCTTGCGCTTGAACGCTGTACGCCGCATTAGGTGGGGTTCCGGGTGTTACTGTAACGCAAAGTTTTCAATGATAATCACGAATATATTGCGGGAGGAATATAGAGCTGTTTGCAATTGCCAGACTGCATAAGAAAAAAGAAAGATGAAGCGCAAGAACAAAAACAGAATTTGCCGTTACGTTAAAGATTCTTCGAATATGTCTACAAAATAAATTGCACATTACGCACCAGCACCATTTTTTCCCTCTTTACCTTCCGAAGAGCCTTCCACCACCTCGAAAACGTCTTCTCGGACGGCCAAATTTCTTCTTAGCCACGTTGTTTGCTCTAAACAGGCACCGGCTATTTGCGAACACGATTCGATCAACTGAAATGTTTATTAAGAATAGTTTATTAAGCAACTGTGTTATATGTATTAATTATTGTACAATGAATTACACAAGATAACAACCTTCGCAGACACGTCTTGCAAGTCTTTGATGTCTTTCTTCTCTTGCATAGGTGGGCACTTTTGTACATATTCGTTCAGTATAGCCAGCAAGAGAAATTGGGCAGGTGCTGTTAGCGATAGACCATCCTTTAATAAACTGAGCAAGGATGCCCAAGACTCGATAAGCGATTGCGACGTGTTACTCTGCATGTAGACATAAAGTAATTCTAGGACCGAGACTTCTAGTGAGAAATCTTGCTTGATTCCATGTATCGGCGGTGGCGTTTTCACTACTTGATGCACGGTGTGCACCAAAGTATCAATGGGCATAACACGAATCGCACTAACAAGGTGAACCATTACTTGCTGATTAGGGCAGGCTTCCGGAAGTATCTGGAAATACCGAAATAATTACAACTCAGCATTCTTTCCAAAACTGATAATACTATTATTTTTCATTTTATTATCTTTTTAAAGATATATAACGTCGGTACCTTCTTTGACGCAGCGGATGGTTGACGCCTTTCGTGCCATGCAACCGCGACTGCAGCCAAGAAGTTGGCTCCGTGATGAAAAGAAATTGGAGACAGGAGCTCCAATAATTGATATTTGACTATTCTCGGACTGCCCACCACACAGCTAGCTTGTTCGCTATACGATATCATTAAAAAGATATTGCATTAATACCATATAAAACATTTTTCTACATATTTGATTAAAAAGTACAAATAAGTATATACTTGTCTTTTGTTGCCAGAACCGCTTGCCATAAAGCAGACAATGATGCTATTATTCTTGGTAAATGGCTTAATGCTGTTCTTCTGGCGTGTTGCTGCAGCTCGTTCGCGCCAGTTTTATCCTTCGCTGTGGATAAATCCTATAAAAAAACGAAAACTTTGCTATTTTGTACCAAATAAATCAAATATCGATTAATTGTATCATAATTAAAAAATATATTTTGTCCAACTAACCGGAGAAAGTGGACTGGGCATAAAAACGTGTATGAGATTGTTGAATATCTGCCCGGGATTAGCACCGGGAATTCCCGTTTGTATCGTACCACTTAACGGTTGATTAAACGAGAATCCAACTTGCTGAGAGGTGTCCAATAGACAGTAATGCAGCAAGTACGTCAAAGCCTCCAAATGTGTTACGGTGTAATCTGCAGGCAAGCAGCATTCCACTGTGCTTATATCCTGTAATTTTGATGTCAATGTTGCTTCTTCGCTGATGTAATATGACGCTAGGTGCTCAATATTGCAGCACAGCTGATGAATAACCGACGTTACAACGGATGTTAAAGACGGTCCCATAAAAGGTAGACTGGACGTAACAAGAGTGGTCCAATGTTGATGAAGATGTCTCATGTGATCCTACAAAATTTGTATTCATATATGAATTACTTATTTCGTTCGTGATTTTGTTAGACCGATCATCACTTTCTACTTAATCACATTAGTTCGTAATTTAAACAATCAATATTTATAATTTAAAAACATTATATATAATTTAATAAAATATGTTATATCGCTTTGATTATCGCGTTTAAAAATGGGTATAAACTTTTGAACCGATCTGACAATGTAACGTACGAGTTGCAGGGCGCTAAGAATACTAGCGAGGAACATCGGTTGCTGTGGTATTGCTGCCCCAGAGACATATTTCAAACTGTTCCCGATCAAGTTTGACGTCCGTGTCGGCGAACTTGGTATAGGCGACGTCGTTAAATTAATTTCCTCTCCTTTTTGACTACTACACTGATGCTCCAACATAATTAACGCTAATAATAACCTAGGAAAATAATAAATCAATCGTTATAAAAAATTACACAATTACAACTGAAACGAGTTTTATTTAATGCTAATGTGAATTTTGAATAGTCTCGTCAGTAGCGAATTAGCGAAATATTCTTGCAAATATATTTGCTCCATATTTACCGTAACAACTGTATCTGGAAAGCTTCCGTATGATCGCTTGCTCTATATTTACATTTGTTAACATCATTGTCGACAAACGGGTCATTAAATAACACGATTTCTTCAGTAAACGTGGAGACATCCTCAGTCTCCTTGTGAGCGTTCTTCATGCTCATAACACTGGACACAAGACAGTGCAGAGCAACTTTTTGTACTTTACATTTAGTCAATAAATCAACTATGTAGCAGCTAAAGCCTTTTCCAGAATCGCGGACGATCGGGATTAATTCGGAAAATATTAGCGTCAGTAACTCTGCACTCGCAAGTTGTACCTATATGAGAGATATTTTTATCAACATAATTAACAATATCCATTAAAAAGCATATATAAGTTTAATTAAAAAAAATAAATATTTAATAAAATTTTTTATAACACTTCTTAATTTATATTCTTCCTTCAATGTTTTTTAAAGATATTAAATTAAGACTTTTTTTTTTAAATCGAGCACACACCTGGCGATTACCAGCGATCTCTTCGCACGTAAGTCTCATCTGTCCCAGATTTGGATAGTAGCTTCTCGCGAAATACAGGCATACGCTTATCAACACTTCCAGATACATGCTACTCCTGTAAGCCGCTATGAATTCCGTATTAGCTACATCACCATGAAAGTTCCGGCCAAACACACTTTTCCTATGTCTTGCCAACAAGTTTAATAACACTGTGTTCTTTGTTGCGTTCGTCACACCGGTTGTTGCCGCGCAACACAGAAACATTCGCATGTTCGTCAATAGTTCGTTCCTGAGGGTACGCAGAGCATAAAGAGTCCTGGCCGAATCGTACACCCCACAGTAGAGCAACATGTGAGAGTGAAGGTTGTGAACACCGAGGCCGACATTTCGATTAGTTTTCGCGTTATGCTGTGGAATTTCCTCCTGCAGAACAGAAAGTATTGAACGAAAAGATATTGCGACGTTTGTCACTTCGCCAAGCCAAATAACAAGATACTTACGCTTTTAGGTGGTTCGGCGATGTCGCACAATTGCATTGCACGATCGAGCACTTCGTTCAGAATCTCTTCGACTATGCTGGTGCAGCTGGAATTGCTGAAGTACTCTTCCGCAGTGGTGCTGACATCGAGTTCGCCGTCGTCGTCGTCCATCGTCCAGCTGGGCACCTCCGCGCTCGCTTCGAAACTGCCGATATCATGATCGTAATTCGCGCTGAATTCGTTCGTGCTGTAATATCTGCCCTTTATGATAGTGCCCGCCACCTCCCTGGAACTGCCCGGCATTATGACAGTTTCCTTCTTTTGCTTCGACTGTTTGTTAGTTACTTCGGGACTGCTCGAGTCCAAGCTATTCGTTATGGAATCCGACGACGAATCGACATCGTCGTTCAACTTCTTGTAGCTACTCTTATCCTTTGCCTTCAAGCTGGAATTCGTCGATTCGAAAAGACTCTCGTCTAAACTGGCAGTAGAACCTTTGTCGAAATCAATTTTCTTGAAACGGGTGGCATTTTTCAGCAACTCCGTTCCCTTACGCATACTGGGCAACGAATCGTCCTCCGTCAAAGAGTCATTTGAATTTTCGTTACAGTTGATCGAGAGGGGATTTACAAACACGGAAATCTTCCTGTTGCCGGATATACTGGGCGGTACCTCGAGTTCCTTCATAAACTGATTTTTCTCCGTGACATAGTGATTGCAATTATCACTAGTCGCCAGCGTTGTCACCGCGAAAATTCGTTTTATCTTCACAGGATTTATCGCCGGCTTCTTCTTCTTACCCTTCTTCCACCTTTTATCCTCGTCCACGCTATCGCTCACGTGATATATCACATTACCATCGACCGAACTAATCGCGTAAATTTTCGCTGCACCCTCCGTGTCGTCCTGTACCTCCGATTTCTCCTCCACGGGATCGTTCTTCGTTAGGACGGTATTACTGTGTTGTATACTGACGTGAAGGACGCTCATACGACATGTGGATGGATCTAATAGTATTGTCAGCAGGGGATCTATTACGCGCGATATGTCGCCGCGCATCAAGGAATGTAGCAGCCACGATTGAGCCTGCAGCTTTAACGGCGAATTATCCGCAAGCTGAAGATTGTCCAATATTTTCAATAAGGATCTACGCAACACGACAGAACACACAAAAGCAATATTTCGTGAAAACCATAAATGTTACATAATTAAAGCTGGACAAACATTAAAAACCGTTTTACTTACTGGTCAAAAGTTCTGAGACAGCCACGCAACCTTGGATTCGTTTCGATTTCTCGTCCTAAATGCCACAAAGTGGCGAATCTACCGAATGCCTCGATCCTCTTCTCGGGATTCTCAGAAATGAGCGCAGATCCTATCAGATCTTCGACCGCGTTGCAGGAATCGTATAAAGCGTGATGCAATTCGTGCAAAAGTTCTACGCAACGCATCCTGAACTTATGAGCGGGAAGTTCGCCCAAATGATTCCACAAGGAATGTGCCAATACCTTTATGTTAAAAGTAATTATGTTTAATATTTTATTTTTTTAATGAGATATACCGAATGCAGAAATCTTATTGGGGTGTACCTGAAACACATTAGTATACTGCATCAAGTAAGTTACATGCCATTGCTTCAACAGAGGCACGATAATAACCGTCGTCACACCTTCTCCACTTTTCGGATGTGTCTCGACGTCATTGTGTGCCTTCAACAATGCCACCAAGTCCAATAACGTGGCGATGCTCGTTAACTGTAACGCGGGTTGTTTCTGCAACCAGCAGGAACAAACTATTAAAACTTTCAACCAATCCGGAAGGACGTGCTCGAACTTTGGCTCCTCCTCCACGAGTACGTCGTCGCCGGGCAAAAAGTACTTTGGAAATGTGGACAACTCGACAAACAAGCTGGACGCTATTTTCATGGCTTCGATCCACTCCGATTGCGCTGCCATATCGAGAAATAGGTGAAAAATATCCAGGCACTTGGTATCCTCGGTTACGGATGTGTCTTGACTAAAGAATCCGGAATCGTCTATGTTTAATCTGGAATTCAGCAAGAATTCCAAGTAACGCATTCTCTCGTCAAAACTCTTTCTCGGATAAGACACCACTAAATGATCGAACATATCCTGTACTGTTCTCTCCTTGCTAAGTATCCGATTGCTAATTAATTTAACATAAAATATTTCGTATTGCCGCAGGCACTTTTCCAACATGGAGTGCTGTGCCTGAAACGCCGGAGATGGTCCCCTACACAAGGATCCCGTCGATCCCATTGGAGTAACATTCTTGAAGTTTTTCAACGTGGCTAGACGGCTGTCCGAAGATTGATTCTTCGAAGAGATTCCATCGGTCTCAATGCAGCTCGCTTTAATATCGTCCATGCTTTTATTTCTAGATAAAGGTTTCGGGTCTTCGCTCACTATAACGGATATGCTACTGCCATCGGCTTGTATAGTGTATGTGTCGTTTAATTTGGGAGTGCTTTTGCTCGCCTTCTTCTTCGACTTCTTCTCGTTCCTTTTAGCGGCACCGCCGGAATTGGCTCTTCTCCTTGTACTTGGGCTTTTCTCCACGAAGGGGATACTGGACGTGTCGGGCTTATTCAATTTACTATCCGACTGACTCTTCTCTAAAGGGATCGCCGTTAAGGAATTATCGCTGGGAACTGTAATGTTATTCAGAGACGTGTCCAACTTGGTATCTACTTCACCACACTTGTCCGCATGAGCCGTTATCATCGTTGGTTGCACTCTCGACAAGATCTTGCCGCACAATTTGAGGCTTTTCGAAATTTCCATCGGGGACAGGATATTACTGTGATATAAAAGCTTGCTGGTTATTTCGTAAAATAAGCCAGGAAGATGTTCAGACGGCGTGTCGATAAACGCGTCCAACGACACAGTCTCAAGTAAAAATTCCGTTAGCACGCATACTTCCACGAGATTCGGCATTCCACTACCGACCGGTCTGACAGCGACGTCTTCGATCGCGACTTGCGTCTTCGCTCTGGTATTACAGGCTTTCTCAAACAGATGCCCGCAATGTATCCATATGTACGACGGTTCCAGAGTCGAAAATAACAGATTCGCTGACTTCACCACTTCATTCGCTTTCGGTGTGTGACTCGACACGGATTGTTTGCATGCATTATAAAATGTTCTAAAATGTAACGTGCGATTGTTAGAAAACATGGTGAAGAATTCGATTTCAACGGCATAATTTTATTTTACAACGCATTGACGATTTTACCTAAACACTTCAAACAGAATGTCATCCAAAATTATTGGTCCAATATCCACCTTATCAAGTAACGAGACAAGTATCCTATATGGCTTCAAATCTTGCGAATTTTCTTCACACACTTCTTTAAGCAGATATTTTATCGCTTCGACTAGCATTTCCTTCGAATACATATCAAAGTACGTTACATCCTCTTTAGTATCTGCAGTTGCATGGGTCTTCTTCTTTAAAATCGATGTGCTCACTTCAGTGCCCAACAGCCAAGCAAACAAACGTCTACAATTGTAATGACAGAAAATACATACATATAAAATATAAAAATTTGAAGAAGACTGTCATACATTGCGACCTCCTTTACCTGTTTAAGCTCATGTCTCTTCGCAATATAGTAACTAGAGCAGCTTTTATTAACAATATCATATCTTGATGCGTTAACTGACTGTTGTGCATAGGAAAGCCTATCAACAGAAAATCCAGTGCGCTTCTCTGCACCAACACCGAAGTGTCTCGCACTCCAGCACATAAGGCTGAAATCTTTTATAAAACAGTACATTAGAGGAGCAAATTTTAAGGATGTATATCCATTGTTTAAACGCAAAATTTTTCTTACCATAATTTTAGTATTAGTACCCATAATATATTTTTGCTCCTCCATTGATAGCTTCTTGTTGAAATGTGCTAGCACAAACGATATTGCAGGCAATCGAATGCCAGAGTTTGAAGCCAAGCAGTCCCAGAGACATGCATAAAAGTGTTCCGCACCCACACCCTCGCACACTTTCTCCAGTAAGGAGTTAGTTCTGGTAAAATAATGTTCTCATACATTTTTTATATTACTCACGCACAAATCTACATATTATTTACGATTATAACACCAAAAAATGCTGCAAAGATAATAACGTAGATCGTACCTGTCAAAATGATCAGATCCATCTTCTAGGCCCAAGAGGACGCCGCTTAAAAAACCACTTAATCCTGGTCTCAACCTTTCGCCGAGTGGCACAAAGTGCGTCTCGTATACAGTTAACAATGACGGCCTGACATTCATAGCAGCATGACCCAATAACGGAAATAGCCCTAATCGAGAACAGACAAGTATACAGAATGTATACCAAAGTAGCCTATCATTTCTTTCACGTTTCTCGACAGGTAACACTTACCTGCGCTATAAATGAAGAGCTCATGGCTGAGCCTATTAGTGCCCATACACTTAAAAATAATGTCGTACGTTTCTAAAGCTTTTAAGTGAACACCAGAAGGTAACGCCGGATGCATGCATTGGGCTAATCTCTTCGATATTTTGATTCTCCTTGGAATAACGGGAAACTTCATATGGCTCAACAGCACTTTGTTGAGCTTTCCCAAGGCAGAAATTAAATCTGCCCATTCGCTCGTGTACTCGAAGCTTTTCAGGGCCTTGTCGACAGCGGACACATAGCTGTATGACAAATGTACAACATATCACAACAAGTTCTTTAAACTGTACAAATGCCAAGTGATAAAATGTGAATTATTACAATTATTACTGAGCCGCATGTGCCAGTGATGCTAAACATGCTAATCTACTTACACCCGATACTTCGAGTCCTTCATCAACTCGTACTCCTCCAGAGCGATGGAACCCATTGTTGCGTCTCTCTCTCTATCTTTCGCGACTAAACAAACTACGCTGCGACGATGCTGTTTCTCCACGTCACTTTACATGATTCCAGATTTCTACCTCACGGCACAATGAGTCACAACGAGGTTCCCCAGTTACGCTGCGGGTCTTATCGCGCGGCACATCGTGGCTTCAGATAAAGCGGGCACCGCGGTACCTGGAAATCAATCCTCCGCGTTACCACGTAGAGCCCGTATATGTATACGCGTCTCGCGGCCGTTTTCCCCGCTCGGCCAGACTCCAGGGAAACAGAAATTTACCCTCTCGTTCTCTCACCAGACGAACCGACTGGGCCGCGATCGTTCATCGCTCGCGTCTACGCGTCTGTGTTTACACGAGCCGAACCTGCCGTCGCGGTCGGCCCGCTATCTCGGTTTGGTTATCTCGTCGTCGCGCGGCCGCCGTTCCCCCGCCGCGCGGCCGTCTCGCTCTCCCTCCACCAGGAATCCAGCGGCGATTCACCGAGTCGACATACCGCTCGCAGCCTCGAGTCCTTGAAATCACTCCTCAAGTGCCAAGTTCCCCGCCAGGTAATCCTCCGACCTCCGACGGCTCTCGAACTCCCGGACACGTAAACGGTCGATCGTCGGTAGTCCCAGCTGTCCTCCAGCTGTATCCGGCGGGACCGTGTGGCGCGACGCGCGCTTCCGAACTTCCGATCTGATTATACTTCGAACTCCGATTCCCCCTCGGGCCCTCGGGAGAATCTCGGGTCTCTCGGGATCGGGCTATCGGAGACTGACGACTCCGAAGTCCGATGCGCCACCGATGCACTCGGACAGCTCACCTCTCGCGGTTTGACGTTCGTTGACGTTGACGTTGCGTTCGCGCGTGACGAGTATCGGATCGACGTGGAGTCGTGGATGACCTTTCGACGGACTCGATTGACCGAAGGCGATTTTTGATTAAATTTAATTGGCGATTAATTCAACCGGCGGAATCGCCTGCAGCAAAATTTCCAACTGTATACTTCGTCGTGCCTGATGTAATCCCTTTTTCCATATATATGTTAAAAAAATGAATCATTCTGTTGACAAAATAGCGCAGGTTATAACCGATAAGTTAATTGGAGTTTGTGATCGAGATCATTAGGAAACTTCTTCAGGTGTCTCTTTCCTCGCGCGGCTGCTTGACAATCCGATCTCTTTCGCAACGTAGGATTTTAGGCAATTTTGCATCGTGCACATTCAGCACATTACAGAAAGATATCTTTCAACCTCGATACGTGAACATGTGTGGAACATTTGAGAGCGGGGAGCGGGGTATTTCCAAGTCTAAACGTAAACGTATTCTCTTTTTTTTTTTTTATTACGAAACACTTTAAAATCCACGATCCATTTATCTCAGCAATCGTGCATGAATAACAAAAGGAAAAGAATGCAACAAAGCAAAGAGTAGTCTCTTTCGTTTTCCGGAATTTCAGTAAAATTTCCAACAAATCTCGCGGAAATTACACAGATTTGTAAAAATAACAAAAATACTTGTGAAATGACAAATTATTTCCCAGTTGATTAATATACATATATCGACTTGTTATAAACTTACAAAACAGATTATTCCGCTTGCACGGAAGCTCAGAAGTATCACACTCGAGATTTGTATAAAATTCAGATGGAATGTTTACAAATACTACTATTTTTAGGAGAGATAGTCATATCGACACTGTTTACACGTTATTCTTTCGTTTACATTTACGAGAAACCGTGCGGATATTTAAATACTGGAGAAATGTTCGCGAACATAAGGTTACACGCTCCGATAAGACGGTATAACAAAACAAGTAAATCTCGTAAGATAATAGTAAATATAATGCATTAACATAATACAAATGCAACTTTATCACTCTGAAGTAAGTATTGCATTTTTTCTTCACGATTAACCCTCTACTGCCTTTTTGGAAAATGAATATATAAAGCTATACAATAAAACAATAAACCTGCATTTTTTGAATATGCAAGATTTAGAGAAGGAATTTTCGCGTCATATTTTTCAACTTGCAATGATTGACTAGCAATCATCAAGAAGAATTGAGAAAGTAATAAAACTGTCACGTCGTACCGAAAAAGTTACATCGAGTAATAGAGAGTTAATGTGAACATGCCAATTTCTATATTAAAAATATCTGGCATGTAGAATATCCCACTGTGAGTTGTACATTATTGTGTGTTTTGATATTAATCCCCACATATTCGTGGTCTCGCATCAGGAACACAGTTTTGCACCTAAGGGCTGTGGTTTTGTGCGCTCCAGTCTTCTCTGCTGTTGTTCTATTAATCGCTGCTCCCGTTCTCTCCTTCTTTGCTCTCGCAGCACTTTGGTAGCGTCGCTAAAATCGTCCACTTCCCAACCAGCAGTATTTTCCTCCCATTCTTCTAATTCATTCTGGACACACAACAAAAACATAAGTCTCCGGAGTGTTGCAGGCTTGCTTTCAAGCATAAAACTTACGGTCGGAACAGGATCCATGGCCGTGAACTGCGCAACGTTGCAAGAGCCGTCTGCGTGCTTATCCTTTATTAAAATCTTCGTCTGCCTAGTAATTCTTGGAGTCATATCCTATACAAGGTCCAAAAGTAAAATCTTTAGTGTTCTTATCGACTGTTCCAAAACTAGCCTTTTAGAGTTACCTCAAAGAAGTTAAGCTGTTCCTCAGTGGGCGAATCGGGAGGCTTGATCACTTGCTGTCGATACTGCTCTATCTTCGCTTGTACCGTGTTAACCGGCTTGTCCGGTATAACGACAACTGGATTTTCTTCCCACCTGTCCCACTGCTCCATTTCCTTAAACGATACCATACTCGATAAGCGTTATTTTAAAACTCAGATACATAAGCAGCAATATGTTCTCCATTTTATAATCCACGAAGACTATGGCTGCGGTCCACTTGACGCTATAAATGCTTCGAAGGATTCCTCTTCTCTTTTCTTTCAATGAAGAAAGAAGGAGAAGAACGCTCCAAAGTATTTGTATCGTCAAGTGGACCGCAGCCTATACCCTATGAAGGCGTCATTATAGTTTTCTTGGCTTGTTTCAGCTGCGTTCCGATATTCACTGCCAGTGACGTGATATAAACTACAGATTTTCAGTAGTTTATATCACTGGCAGTGAATATTGTAACGCAGCCTTCGACAACCTAAAGCACCGTAACATTTCTACCAATATCAACCAGGATATATTTACACAATTGCATGAAAAATATATTCCTGCGACATCATTATTCTCATATATACTTGACACGAGAGGTATCACATGACACATGACTGACAAGTACCGTCGAGCTAGTTAGAACGTTCGGCACCACGCCGACGGTGGACAGGGGCACGGAGTCGCAGGACGATCGTCTTCGACGTCGGAGGCAGCACATCGCGCGCTTAAATATCCCGAAGAGCAGCACGAGCAGGGCCTTGAGCCGATTCATCAGAAACTCCACAGCCATTTTTTCGGCTCGGTTGGCCGAACTGAACGGAGAGCTAACCTCTCCACCGTAGCCGGAAGACGGATGTTCGGGCGGTTACCGGGCGCGGACGCGGCATCGGCGATCCATCTTGCGGGTCGAGACGACGACGTCGATTCGCCCTCACATCGTCTCGCGCGTTTCTCGCGCACGGGATACGATTTTATCGGTGAGCCGGAAAAGACACAGGCCTGCCTGGGACGTACATAACCTAGAACCCTTCCCCGGTCCCCGGACGATTGCGCTGTCGGTTGACAGATCGAGCCATCGAGCGCTCGATGTCGAACGGCGCGACTATCGAAACGCGTTTAGGGGGTGATTTGATGAAATTCGGATTGAACTGATTGAAGTTAATCGCCGATTATAGATATAATTCAAGTTGGATCGAACTGACCGAAGTCACTCTGAATGGAAGGGAAGACGGCGAAGGCGCGCGAACGACGGACACGTATATTTAGTGCCTTTACATGATTTTATTGACAAATCAACGCAAATACAGGTGTGTGTCTAACAAATTAGATGTTTCTCATATCGCAGTTGACTTTCTATTTCAGTGTGAATGTTATGCAGTCGACGTCAAACAGATTCGCGGAGATATCTCATTGTTAGGGTTAATGTAGGCATTGTAGGCAAATGTACGCTAAACATATATAGCGTAAGGCGTAACTCAATTCTTTAATTTTGAAGCATTTGTTTAAATATAAGCACCTGTCAGACCTTAATTCGCCCGACCAAGACGGCGTAGCAAAATATTTTTAGAAAATAATATGTATACTACAATTCAGAAAACAACGAATTTACATTTAATGTAAAAATCAATATTAATCGTGCCGTTTATCGATAAAAATAAGGGAATTCTGTCCTTCGGGTATATTCGCCGCGACGTAAGAAAGAAAGGGCCAATTTCGCATATATATTTTAAGCAGGCTGATCTGTCCCTTTACTATAAAAATTGCCTGCGTAAGTAATGTGTGATCGAGTTTTCGTTTGCCAGCGAAAATATAACGGAGAAATTCGATTTCTAGACGCGCGTGCACTTGTCGCGTCTGGTGTTGCGATCGTATTGGCACTTCTCGTACGCGGCGCACTTCACTCCGTTGCAGTAAACAGCCTGCTGATCTGCAAAAACACGCAACGGAATGTTCTGGTGATTCGAGACGCTCGGGGAAGTCGACAAAAGATCACGAGGTAAGTTTCTTTAGAACTTTAGATACATGAGATACATTTGTTGCGTTTGAACGCGTTTTAACCCTTTGCGGTCGAAATTACTTCTCGCTGAATGAGCAAAAATCACAAGTATATATTATTTTCAGTCTCATTTGATCGATCAGTCTCGTGAATCGAGGAATTTTTCTGGATGATTCTAAAAACACAGTTTGCCGATTATAATCTAATTGTAAGTAGGCTGTGAAGCGTTGCGTCGAGAGTTTAGTCCACGCGGGACCGCTCGACTGCAAAAGGTTTAACTCTACCGTGAAAACAGGATGTCGTATGTATGTACGTACTGCTCGAGCCCTTGTAACCGCCATCACTGCCGGTGTTAACGGGGCTGGTATCTGCGCACGACGTGAAGCCGCATTTGTTCGGGCAGCATTTCTGATTGAATGGACACTGTCCGTCCCCTATGCACCTGGAGCCACAATTGCTCACGGTGTTCCTCATCGGGCAATTGCCACTTTTGTCTGAGGAACGATTAGCAACGATTGACGATAATTAACAGGAACTTCTCCGTGACTTTTAGATTAATTTGCAGATCGTTCCTTCTTAGCTCTCACGATTCTCGCGATTAATTTTTCGGTGCTATTAGCGTAGTCTGTTAATATAATTATCATTAGCGTTATGAATATCGCTAATCGTTTACTTTATTACTTGCATCATCGTCATTACTTTATTAAAAAATAATCTCCATCTTTCCGCTCCCTGAACATTATTTTGATTAGATGACGCAGGTTAATTGCTAATGGCGTTGCAAATTAATCGCAAGTTGTAGAGTCACAATCGACACGTTTATTTTGTTGACGACGCGTGCACGCGAGGATGCTATAATTGAATATTACGTAGCTTTAAGTATCCATTAAAGTTCTTCGTGTTGCACCGTCACTCTCTTTTTCCCGATATACAGATATGCGTTTCGTGAGAAAACTAAATCTGAACTATGAAATTTTCAAGTCTACATATAATAGAATGTCTTAACATTAAGAAAGAGTAAACATTTCCTTGTAAAAAGTTTGGAATCGATTCTTATTAGTAAAAAGTTCGAGGAGCTAACATATTATATATCCGATTCGTGAGAGGAGAGATGGATTCTATTTTAAAAGTTCAACTTTCTGTTAAGATATAAAACACGATGCTTTTATTTCACTTTTGGCCAATTCTGCGATTAAGTCAGAACCAGAGAGAGCGTAATGCTGAAAATAAAACGGTTTTCCCAGACTCGTGTGTGAAAGCTATGCAAAAATGCAAATGCATATGTTCGCATTCGGTGCTCCCGCGCATAAGTGGTGGTGTTTACTTACAAAACGTCTGAGAGAACGTGCCGGCGACCAGCAGAATCAGCACTACCGCGAACGCTAATAAGCTTCCTGGAAAGTAAATATTACACAAACTCGGTGTTAGTTCGAGGGAACGTGAGACCATAATCCAATTTGAAGTGGGCTTTGAAAGGAAGACTCGCCACAAACGTGTCATTTACATGAATTATAGTTACAGTATCGATAACACATCACTATATTTAATATCACCTAATTGTTTTGAATGTAGAACTAATTACACAAATGTACAACTACTTTCAGAGTCCATAATTAATTATATCTATATATGTAATACGTAAAATTGATTTGGTGCTTTCGTGGCGCAATCACAAATGAATTGTCGCCGAATTTCCGAAGCGTCGCGTACTATAATTAACAATAAGACTTATGCTAACGATGTTACGTGGGAGCCGTGTGGCGCGTTTACGAGAAGCGTCGTCTGTAACTTTCAAGGCTGCGCAATTCAAATACTTACGGTTCATTTTATGAGCCGTTCTTGAATAATCTTGACTAAAACTCCGCGGCGAGGTTTCAACGAGACTTCTGGACGCGTGATAAGAGCACCGGCTTTTATAATGTTTTCCACCTCTACTCTACGCATTGAGCGAGTACACGACAAGAGGAGAGTGCGATACATAACGAATTGTAAGAGCCGAGATATTTCTTACGATAAGAAAAACAGTTTATTCACAACTTTTACATCAATATTTATAATTTTACACAATACTACGCTTAACGTGTCAAGGAATTGCAGTGATCTAACTTGTAGTTCGAGACTTTTTTTCTTATAGAGCCCAAAAGGGTCTTATTGTCTTCTGGAATATTTCTAAATGATTCATTGCTGGAGTCAATGGACATCGGAAAAACACGTGATATCGAAGAGATTAAGTTTCGAAAGTTATCGCATTTTAAAGATAGGATAGTTACGAAAAGTTTGTTTTAGGGTTTCCTAATGTTATCATATTCGTAAGGTATGAATACGTGGACGATGGTCACAGAATAAATCGCGACTCGTGCTCGTCTATAGTGCGGACTGGTCCAGTCAACTCTTTTGTCGATACCGTTTACTTGAACTCGAGCGCTTTTTCTTTCTTTCTCCGCACGTTGCATCGTGACGTAAATGATAGAGATATAAGTGCGAATATTATGCGCTACAATCACGTAATTTGCATTACAGTTTCGTTTACGTTGCAATAAGAAATATCTGCGTGCTTCTTAAAATTGAACGACACCATTGATTATTGATGAAGGCTATGCTGAAAGTCTATATACAGCTTCTAATCTTGTACATTTATCTTAATTTAGTTCAGCATGAGGATATTTTTCTTCATGCCTTACTTAATTAATATTTGAACAGCTGTAATTTAATTATATTTTAAAAAATAATTTAAAAGGAAAAAAATCCGAATATCTTCAGATGAGATAAATAATATTTAAATTATTAATTATAACTAATTATTTTTAGTCGATGATAAAAAGTGTAATTAACTATAGAGCTTTATCCGAATTGTAGAACCGTTCTCATGAATCTTGTTGTGAGCATTTCAAATCCGTACTTCATGAATAGCTGTTTGAGACGTTCGTTTAGTATTCTTCTCTCTCTCTTTAGTATTCATAGCTGTTGAACCTTTGTTTATTGCCTCGAATAGTTATTGATTAGTCAAATAAATTCAAGGCTAATTACGTGGAATTGATGTGGAGTTTGTTTTGATACTTATCAAATAATCTGCTAAAGCAATCACTTAAAAATGAAGGTTAATGAGCAATTAAATTGCGTCGATACATATTTATATGCCGAGAGCATTTCTGAATCGTGTCAATAGATCCGCTACTGGTAACACAAGTGCATTTTCCTTGATGCTGTTTCTTGCGTAACCTTGGCCTTTGCTTATATCAATCTGTTTATTAGAATTATCGATTAGTAGAGATTTAAATGTCCGTCTGGGATACTTTAATAGCTCCTTTTTTGTCATTTTATTTACATGAATTTTATTTATCTCTTTTGTTAATAATTGATAAATTTATCTTGAGATACGACAGGTATAAAATAAGGAATGTAAATACAAAAATGATGTTATTAATCGTGTACGTGATAGTTTAATAGTCTCCGCTAATTTTAATTTTTTAATGATAAAAATATATAATTGTGGGAATTACGATACAAATATTCTATTGTATTCCAAATTGCAGGCAAAAATTATTAATAGAACATGTATATATAAAATAGTAAACGTTAAGATCGCAAAAAATAAAATTATTACTAAAATTACACTTATTATGCGATAACATGATCGTTATGAAATCAGTGCTGGATGTTTTAATTATTATAAATGTAATAGGCACGTAAAAATCGAGATTAGGGATAGTAATCAATGTAATCGTTTCCGATGCGCGGAACAACCGGTTGAATTGGAATTTCGAGGGTTTCAAGTACTTCAGTTTCCGGCTTCTGACAAGCTAGGGCTCCACATCTATTTTTGCAACATTTTAAGTTTCCTCTGCAATCGTTGTCGCCATTGCAAGTTGATGAGCACACCCATCTTCCTTTCGGTACCGATGGGCAAGATCCTGGTTTCTCATCTGCACAAAAGATTATTCATTCTTTTATATACAAGCTTGGGAATTTTGTGATTAATTTATTATATTTTTATATAAATATTATCACAATATTCCAATCACCATACGTGATACGATAATTATGACGGTGACAATAAAAAAATTGCCAAAATTGTAACTCTTCAGAAGAGTTATTAATAGAATAGTTTCCTTCCTGAAAGTTTTTTCTATATTAGTTGTAATAGAAATAAAAAAGATAAATACAAAATTACATAGACTTTTTTGAAGCGTGCTGATAAAGTAATATACACTTTGTTTTACCAATTAAATGTTTAATATCACATAAAATATGATAAATTTTACAATCGCTTTAAAATGACGAATTGATGTTTCTGTTTCAGGTCGACAAATTAGGCGTAATGTGTGACGAGGAGATTACTCACCTGTCTGGGCAGGTCGCGTCATCGTGACAGGCATGGAGCAGATGGAACCACCGCATCGGGTCGGACAACATTTGCCGATTCCTGCGCAGTGTCCGTCAACGTAGCAGGATCGTCCGCAGAACTGTACAGGTAAGGCAGGTGGACACGAGCCTGGTTTGATCGCGTATCTGGTTTGCGTTCTCGCAATAGCGATCGTCGCCACAAAGACTAGAGACACGACTAGCAACTTCATTCTTTTGCCGGACACTATAGCACAGTATTAGGAGCTACGCATGAAAAATATTTTACTTTTAATACGAATAAAAGATTAAAAGTTTCGATAATTCGGTCTGCTCGAAGGTCGTATCGAGCAATAAATTTATGAAATTTTTTAGTTAAAAATCGAGAAACTTATTTAAAAAGATGTTTTAATAAATTTTAATAACACTTTTATAATACAATTTTAATAATTAATTCGAATAATGGTAGAAAAGAGGATATAAAACGAGAACACTTTTTGAGAAAAATGCATTTAAAATTTTTATCCTGTCAATATCCTTGAGAAGAATTACAATTTTATTAGGAATAAACAGAATTGTATACGCTTCTATTTTTCCGGTATGAAATAAACATATTAAATGCATTTTCCAGAATAGCATTTTTGTTATATTTCCTCTTTTGCTGTAAGGAATGCAGAATAATTAATTTCACCAGCCAAATTTTTGCATCCCTTATCCTTCACACTTTCCTACGCGAATTTGGAAAAACGGAATAAAAGAATATTAAATTATTCACGTTAATAGACTAATCTAGAGTTTATAAACAACGCAACACTGAAAGATCGCTTGCTACATGCCGGCTTATCTTTCCGTATATTTATCTTGCCCTCGACATTCGCGCTTCACTGTTTTGTAATAATGCGCAACGCACTGTTTGCACGAAAAACGTGCGGATAGAAGAAACCACGCTCCTCACATAAAACGTACACTTGAAGTATATATATGATTTGTTTATGTCATACTTTTATACTCGAGGAATACAGCCAGTAGCAAAGGTGATCAATGTCTCCTTGTTTTTGCCACTCAACATGAATGGTACCTCTGATATATATGCCTGTCGTCATCAGCTTCGTCTTTCCCCCTCCAAAGGCGAGCATTAAACATCTCACCGCTCTCACTCCTTTCCCACGCGCAACTTTATAACGCCATATACAATTGTCACAATTTACAATTATAATTTACTTTGGAACAATGTCATTTTTTGTCTCTTGTTTCCGGTATAACATTTATTTATATGCAATTATATTGAAATAATGCTTCTCGCAATTGCGCATGGGGCTGCCTCTGTTTTAGAGACTGTTATTTCTTCGTAATATTCGTATCAGATACGCCTTTGAATATGGCCGCTATAATCGGAAAACGTCGGCGGTGAACCATAACCGCAACTGTAATTAAAGCCCTAATTAATTAGAGGCTGATTCAGCCGGACGGAAGGACGCGGTTTCGGTCGAGACTGTTTCCTTCGTAATGAGGTTTCCTTTCTGAAAAGTATTATTTTGTTTGAAAGGATAAAGTTATTTGCTTTTTTTTTAAATTTAATTATTATTACATAGCATGTTAGAGCGTGCTGTTTTTGATCAAAAGTTTTGAAATAAAAAAGTTTTATGTTTCTTTCTTTAAAAATATCAAGCCATGAATAGCATTTGATTAATTAAAAAAGAAGAAATTTTAACGAATCATGGAATCTACGTTGCAAATATAGATAACAAAATTGTATTTGTTCAATTTTAATAATAATAAGAGGGAAACATTTCCGGAAGAGAGAGAGAGAAGATCCTGAGAAAGTAATATGATTTTCAAAGCGCAAATTCTTTGTAAATCATAATAGTAAATATCAAAGGTGGCATTGCACATTAGATTAAGTACTCGACATTACATAACAGACTTGATTATATTACTCATAAAGAGAGGAACTTGCGTTAACGAGTATCGTCAGTCTCGTATTTATTGTTGCTGCACTTTTTGAAATGCGACAGAAGTGTACATACGTGAATCAATGAAGACTGGGTCTCGGATATGTTTCTGTATATTTTTTAAAATCAATTTACTAATACACATACATAAATATAAAATAAAATTGTCGGCGGGCGTAATAAAAAATACATATAGTATCAAATATATATTTACGATTACGCTACAAGTCTTAAAAATTAATGATAAATGCATTCTTGGTACTCAAGCCTCTCCGTACCTGAGAAGAAATCGAGACAACAGATAGTATATATCGATTTAATTCTATAATTACTGCTAGTTAATTTAACGCTAATATCGCGTTTTTGTGCTATATAAAAATAATACCATATTTTTGGGAAATTTAATTCGATGTTTGCACGAACGTAACCAGAGAGACGAACGTAAGCCAGGGGGGGTGCAGAGATACATTTATAATTTGCAAACGTCTGCGACAATAGTATTCCACTATTGTCGTGCAAACAAGTAACAAGACAAAAGTGATTCGTCATCGTTACGTACACACACACTACGTATAATAATAAATAAAGAAGCATATTATAATTATTATAAATTTCTACGTTCGTTTCTTGTATTAACGATCAACTTTGTATTATGAAGTAAAAATTTCGGTTACGCCCCTGGTTACTTAAATCATCTTTTTTAATAGCATATATTTCCCATACGCGGGATTCAAGGAAAAGTCCGCTTTATTGTACAATTTACGATCTCAGTTTGAGTGATGCATGCCGAAATTAATGGACATAATTAATATACGTAATTGATTCTGCAATATTTTAATCCATGCAAAGAGAGTAATCGAATTAACATTACTATCTTGCATGGATAATATCGGGTGGGCGGATTCGGATATATTTTTGAATATCTGCGAATTCTCGCTGCATATCTGTAGAAATGAGATTGATCAATGGTACTAGCAATAACCATTGTTTCGTCCTTAACATTATTCTTTTACGTAGATAGATATGTTATGCCACATACAATTATTGAGTACGACGAGACACTTATAAGTTTTACTCGTTAAATTAATATTATTAATATTACGATATTTCAGTCGTGAATTTTTATGCATAAAAGACATGATGTATAATTTGTATAAAAATTTGTTAACAAAAATAGTTATATACGCTTCGATCTTATTGGGTTTTACTTTTTAGTCGCACTTTTAATAGATAATAAAAATTTATTGAAAATAAAGTTGATAAAGTAGTTTATAATTATGATTACATAATCATATTTATCTTTTGTATCTATTCTCTATTTTAATTATGATATTTTTTTACGTTGAGATTATTACGTATATGTTTATACGTTATAATCTAAATATATTTTTTATTCGTTATTTCTGAAAATCACAAAATTGTGCGTTACATATTATAGCATTGAGAAACTCGATAGAACTTGTATTTATGTTATGTTTTGTAATATTAGGTGATTTAATTAGTCTACGTCGATTTGTGACATAAATAGCTCTGCTCTCGCAGTTACATAAACCTGTATGAGTCACTGACATCTTTTTCAATCACGACTCATCAGAAATTCCCGTAATCTTTTTTCTTGATCTTTTTAGTTGAGAGGAAATCATTTCTAAAGAATTGTGTGAATCTTAGATCGAATATACCGGTTTAGAAACAAAGCTTTAAATAATCTCACGATATCAACTGTGTTAACGTGAGAATTAATTTTTATTAATTTTCATTATGAGTTTTGTTTAATATAAAATTCGCAATTTATTTCATTCGCGTTATAAGAATGAAACAAGAGAGATATGAAAAAATACCGGAAATAGGAGAATTTCGCTGTGAGTTTAATATCCTCATACATATATTTTTATTGACTTGATTCTTAACATAACGATTATCTATGTTTTTGCATTACAAAAGTCGCGTGTTCATGTCCGCGTGAAATTACACAGTGTGAAAGGTTGTACCTCGCGGTGGCACGGGTGGTGCAGGCAACTTCTTTGGTATTGCGCCGAGAACCTTGGCAGCATCGTGACCCATATTAACGGCAAGGTTCATGTATTCCGGCATTCTAGTCTCGGTGGCCTCATTCGTGTTCTTCGAAATGTTCGCCGAGTTCGCCGGCACGTGTTTCTCATCGCGTATTGTCTCGGCGGGCTCTTGACCTCGAACAGTAGGCACAGAGTCGACCTCGTCAACGGTAGGTTGAACGAGCGGCGGCTTCACGATGTTGGAACACTCCTCGGTGGTATCGTCAAGGTGCTCCTTCGCGGCTTCCCGATCCACGTGAACGAAATCGATGGATGTCGATTCGTTGCTCTTGTAGTCCGGAATGCACATTCCTGGCGGCGCGATTGGAGTGAAATTCGATGCCACCGGTTCGATGTTCGTGTAGCTGTTGTTGACAGCGTGTTTCGTCACTTCGGTTTCCCCCTGATGTTTGTCCGACGAGACGGTGACGTTCTGGACGAAGTCGTGATACTTCGGATGTTCGCACGGCGAGCTCGGCGTTTCTGATTCCCTCGGAGAACCGTCCGCTTTAAACGCTATGAAAGTTAAATTGCGGGGGTTATTTATTTTTAAGATTCCAAAGTATCTCCAAGTAATCAAATTGTGACTCTAAATGGCTAGGCATTTTTAATGGTTAAAAATGTCTATAAGATATATAGTTGAGATTGAACAATGCCTGATTTTTTGGATATTCTTGAAATATTTTTTGAACTGCTATGCTGCTTGGAATAGTTCGAGACGATGCCTGGAATAAATAGAAATGAGAACGTTCGATTCGGTTAATTTACCATGAACAGGCAATCCCGATGGTGGGAACGCAATGTAATACTCGTTATCGTCGGCCCTGGACGGTGATTGTGTTTGTCGCAGATCAAGATCACGCGTGATTGAAAGACTCGGTGATGGGGAATACCCGGACGCCGGTGAATACCTGCCTGTGAACGGTTTAGGCGCAGGTGGTATTTCGTAGGACGTCATGCTAGTTTTTTCATCCCTGGCATTCTGGAGCTAAAAACAAATTGTAGAGATCTAACTTAATAATACAAAAACATTGCTATTTTATATATCCTTTTAAATATATAATTTCTTTTGAAGTGATTGTTATTTTTTTTATTTATTCTGTCGATCGATAATTATTTAGCTGGATTTATTATTTCTGATTTGTGATATCGCACGTACTCTTCTGTCTTCGGAATCGGAATGGGTTCCACTGTCGCCCAAGCTTGCACCGCTGCAACCGCTGACAGTGCTCATTCTACCAGATGATGATGAACCTAAGGAAATTCGTAAAATTACATAAATTTAAATAAAATATCCAATATTTACATAACAATATAAAAGTTCTATACAAATATTTAAAAGATCTGTAAAATGTATTTAATTTCTGAATTGTTTTCTAAATATTTTGTAAGGTCTTTTTCAAATTCTTGGGTGTGTCTTAAAAGAACATTTTTAAAGATATTCTGAATTATTGTATAATGTAATCTATTAAATTATTATATAATATAATTTAGTATGTTAGATTTACTTACTGGAGACACTACGAAGACTTAAACTGCTGACAGGCCGGCGATCAGCTAATCCACCGTTAATACTTTCGGATTTGCTCGTAGAGGAATCGGTGGCAACGCTAACAGATTCCTTCGTATCTGTAACCAAAATTAGTCGGAAAATTCTTCAGTTGTTTTTCGCCAGTCAATCAGATAAAAATAATTCAGGAGTTATATTCTAAAAGTGCAATGACTCGCCTTTCTTCCCCTTGGAGAAGAATTTTCGTATCTTCTCAAAAGGCGTCGGCGTCTTCATCTCTTCTTTCATTCTTTTTTGTATTCTGTCGTATTCCTCCCGCATTGCCATAAGCTGTCGTTGCTTATCTTTGAAACTTTGCTGAACGTCGTTTCGCTTCTGCCAATTTTCAACGAGCCTCTCTACCTCAGATATCGTGAAGACATTGTTTTTGAAATCGTTTATTATCTCCAGGAGCTCGTCCTGGGGGCCTGACGGTTCTCTGGATTTAGTACTGCTATTGGATGACGTTCTGCCATAGGGATGATTCTGACACATTTTCTGTCCGTAATTATCCTCTCGCGCTCCCGATGAACTTTGATGACATTCCTGACGAGTAGGTGTACCCGTTCGGGACGGTGGTAGATTCGTCGTACTCGGTGTAATTGCTTTTGAACCTTTAATTAGTCGGAAATATTTGTCACGCGTTTATTCTTTTTTGATCGTGATCAGATTAAAATTGAAACAAAATAATTGTTATATTTTTATGTAGAATTATTGGATTTTTTATTTATTATGCAAGAATGTAATATCGATGAATTTATTAATATTAATAATTAGTAGAAAAGTATTTTAAATTTTAGTATACTTGCCAATTATGTTATGGTGAAGAGCATTTGTGGTAAATGAATAATCTGTGAATTATATGTAATAATTATTATGTAATAACTTTCCGTGAATTATGTGTATAACAGTTGAGGATATTTACCGGTGGCATGCATTTTCATGTAACCTTGGAAAGATGTATCCAGTCCGTTTGACGTGACCAAGGTTGTGGGTGTGGATGGCAGCTGGTTATTAATTACTGGCGTAGGCGTCGGCACGATCGAGTAATTTGCGGCTAAGGTACTTGTGGTCGTGCTAGAGGTACTCGCTGTTTGCAGACTTGGGGTCAGAATCGTTACCGGTCTTGCGATCGGTGGTACCGAGTAAGCCTCGCTCAAGGGCCTTGGTCGACAATAATCTTCCTTTTCGCCGCTGGTTTCATTTGTGACGGTCGACGGGACGTCCGTAGTTGAATTTGTTCCTAAAGACACACTCACATTATCCTCAAGTTCCTTTCAAGACTAATGAGAGTGACTCCTTTTTAAATTTTTTATTGGAGATTGTCAAATATAAGATAGTTTGTTATTTTTCGTATAAAAGATATTTTTATGTAAAAAGATTCACTGAAAATTAAAATAATTTTTTTTAATTTACGAGACACATATACACAGATAGTATTTCATTATTGAAAGTTATATAAATTTATTAATTAATTTATTAACTAATTTTCCAATTTGCAAAATTTGAAAATGGAACCTTGTATAAAAAAATTTCATTTCATATTTTCCAACTTTCTTTTTAACATAGAATTATCATCTGTTTGTTTGTGCTAAATAATTTGCTATGATTATACACTTTCATGTAAAAAAATTTGGATCATTCTAACATAAGAAAATTTCTCAGAATTTTTAAAGAATAACAGAATTGCTGTGTTTTCGTAATATTGTTCTAGCGATATATATATTTTTAATACCTGGTTTATTTGTCGTCTGACTCATAACTTTGAGGTAGCTGTACATGTTGGTGAACTCGTTCATTTGCTGAAGTTTCGCCCATCGGAATTTACGATCGAAACATGCAACGTAGAGTTAATTTGTCAGTTAATTCATCGATCATTTATGGTTCGAAAAGTATTAAATTGAATGATATGCGAGTTCGTGCAGATTTTTCCCCCGAGATATTGTTGCTCCGAGATAGGCGAAGGAAGTTGCGGAAAAACAAGATAGACTTTAAAAAATAGATAAAAATCCTTATTTGATATATCAAAATAAAGTTCACCTCTCACTTTCTTCATTTAATCTCCAAATAAAGATTCAAGAATTCGAAATCCTGCTATTATACAGTCAGACAATTATTTGAATAGATGTATTTCGAGATTAAATGAAGAAATAAATGAGAAGTAATTTTTATTTTGATACATGCAATAATTAAATAAATTTTTTAATTTTTTTTTTGGAAAGTGCGCATTTTATTTTTGGAAATTTTATAAAGTGGACACGTGTATAATGGATGCCTTGAGAAAAGAAAAAAATATCGCGGTAGTACCGATTGTGTTCAATTAATTGCGATGTCGGTCTAAAGGCGAGGTTTTTGTACCATGTAGCCCCGCAGTTGATGGGCCAGTCTCGCGTGTCCAGCTTGATCGGCAAGATCGGCCGGTGTCAGCTCGGAAACGTTTTTCAAGTCGCACGCTAGATCGCCACCGGGACAGTCCAATAATTGCCACGCTAGTTTTTCCAGGCCAAATCGCGCGGCGAAATGCAGCAATGTTGGATTCTCTTCTGAACCTAAAATAAACCCGAAGATTGAATCTCACGATCGATCAAAAATAACAATCTCAACAAGTTTACATTTGCGTTGTAACATATCTCAATAACAAATGTATGCTGTCAGTGAAATAAAAATGTGGATCGAATATGTAACTTTCATTCAACTGTTAAGCTAGGAGCTACTTACTTATATGATTTTTATTGGTAGGCACCATACCGCTCGGGGTAGACAAAAGATTGAAATGAGGAGGGATATTCTTCTGAAATGCATGGACCATCCAATTGTCCAATTGTTCCCGATCAGTAGAACTGAAGCCGAAAGTCTGGCACATAAACTCGAGGGGATTGTCGTGCGCTCTGAGAATCTGATCTAATTCCCTGAGTCTGCTTTCGCATTTGACTTGCCTAACGCCGAGCGAACATCCATTTTTTGTTATTCTCACGCCAACCAGCATGGAGACCTCGAGACATCTTTCTGGTATCGAAAATTGCAGCGCGTAAGGATTTCTTCTTTTGACGTTGCTTATGTCGATCGCGTCGCCGCAACGATCGACGATTACGGAGACATTATCCCTAGGACTCAACGGATCGTTTAGCAAAACAATTATTTTGTTTTGTCCCTGCGAACACAATGCACATATCTTTCAGTTTTTGCAACATTTTCAAATTTTCAATTATTATTTTAGATTCGTTGACACGTTTTTCGAATTTTACAAAATTCTTTTAATATTCAAGTATAAAAAATATAGTATTTTTCCATCGTTTTTTATATAAATTTCATAAGCATTCTATGAGCAAAGGTAAAAATATATAGAATTCCCTCACCCTCTCGTTTATTACTCGAGCATTATTTATTAACAATAGATTTGACTAATATAAAGTCAGTATATTTCAAAATATCTTGCCAAGAGAACTTCTCTAAAAAATATAGCCGTTCGGAATCGGCGTTAAACTGTAGGTCCTATATACAATGTGTATAATCCGCGTGCATGCATATGTATATGAAGAGAAGTCATTACGTTCGGACACGAGTAATAGGACTGAGGATGGATGGATATCCCAAAAAGACTGAATGTTCTTCTAACGATAAATCTCTTGTCTTTTTTTCTGTATCTCCCGCAATCTTGAAGTATTTTAGAATTTTCTTCTATAAACATATATGATATTGACACTTACCAATTTGACTTTCTTCGGATGCACGGAGAATGCAGTTTTATCGCTTCTTAGGGCTGGCGGCGGCGTAGTGCCTAGAATGGCGACCGCTGCGCCCAGCAATTCACTCACGAACGTCTCGTTCTGGTCCTTCACAAAGAATTTCCTCCACTGGTCATAGGAGACCAGGCTGGACCTATGAGTGTCGTTGATGTGACTGTCATGAACGCCCAGCATCATCGCCAGCACCTTCTCGGCGACCAGGTGGCTGGTCAGATGGACGGCGTGCTCCGGACTGGTCCGGACGCGTTCCAGCAATATCGGGCATACGATGACGATCTGGAGGCGAGAGGATCGGATCCCCTCTTCCGTTTTCGGTGCTATCGGCTCTTCGATCGCGATGTGACGTACTCTGAGTCAGAAATGTTATCGATTATAATTTTAGATTCCAAATTGTGGCACACAAAGATAAAAATATTTCACTTTATTATACTTACTTGAACGGCGGTCGTCCTTGTTGACGGCTGATTTGCTCGAAACATCCGGTAAGGTAGTCAACCCACAGATTAGAAGCCTCGCTTTCCTTGCTAGAGACCAAGACGACATCGTCTTCTGCGTGCCCGTCCCTTGATAAGACCGTAGCTGAATGCGACCCTGAAACAAGCAATTGAAACATCAAATTAATTGACTCAAGTATCAAGATTGCGTCTCATATGGCGACGTAAAAAAAAGTTCATCAATAATATAAAATAAAACTGTAGATAGTAAAATATATCTTTCTGAAAGCTGGCGAATGGAGATAACTGGATTGTGGATAATTTTATTGCTAAACGATCGTGTTAAAATAATATTGCGATTTATTAATATAATTTATTTCACTAACTTTTTATTTAACATTTATTTGCAGCAGGTTAATTAGCGATTTATCTGAATTCCTTCTCTGCGTTAATTTTCTGTTCTACTTGACCGCTCTTTAATTTACAAAATGTTTCCTGTACATGTGTCACATCAAGCAACCTTGATTTAGCTTTGTCGTAACGTACGGGGAATGCATTTAATTTCGTGTGACGCATATCACAGAACACGCGACGTGGTTGTAATATGTTTGATGAAATAATGCCGCGAATAACGTGACTATAGGTACCTCGTACTACGCGAAAACAAGGACCATAAAATGATGAAACGGTTTCTGTGAAAATTCTAACGCGGCTGCGCGGAATCAGCATGTGACTCGAGTCAATTGAACGAGTTTAATGTGATATTGTTGATACATAATGTGGACGCACACAATACGCGTTCCAATTGAATGCCAGTATAACAACGGATAATCATTCATAACAGCAGATAATAATCATTCATTAATTTTCCGATATTTTGAAGAAATGTTTTAAGAAATTTTACGGAAAAATCTTTTAAAGAAAAATTGATTCTAGACCGAATAAAGAAAAGTGCATTTTTCCAGTCTTTTTGATTGCACATTTTTATATTTTATAGAATAAGAAATAAAGGTAGTTGCCAATAAAACAGTGACGAATAAAAAAAGAGAGAGTTCTGTAGTCTTTATTCTATTAACGGAGGGACTGTCGCGACAACTTTTACTTAAGGTATAATACGTGAGGCGCGTGGCTTCCGTTTTTGGTGTTTCCGGTTTTAAATTGGATTCATTACTCATGCTAAGTTAAACCTATTTAGACTCGAAATAAATTTCATGTATGTCACATAGTCCCTACATAAAGTTTTAATTACTTAACTGACGGCGTTAATATTACTTGCTCCTGCAACACCCTTCGCACGCAATGTCCGCCCTTTTTGTCTTATTTACTGATATTCATAACACTATTTGTTTGTTTTTTCCAAAATTTCTGAAATTCTAGTATTTTCATTATCCTAATCGCGTAGCGAAAAATAATCTTAATATTATCTCAAATTTATCCTTCAATTAAGTTTGTTACACTGTTAGAAGCAGTGTGTGAATATCACACACTTTATCGCGTGTGATGTGTGTCCGCCGTTTTAAGACGTCTGTAAGTGTGTTACTTTTTCACGCACGAATAGATGTTTGATTATATTAGCGTGTATGACTTGTCACACAGCTGGAGATGTGTAATTTAATGCAGTCCTTTTAATGCCAAAGGAATTATAATACTTTAAAACAAAAAAAAATATTTATTTCGAACTTTTATTACTATTTTTTAACTAAATTTGTTTCTTAAGATGCAGTCTATAATTATAAATATTTTTCTCGTATTTAAAAACACATATAAAAACACACTTACCTTGGTGGGATTCGAACTCGGGACCTCTGGATCGTGAGTCAACTGCCTTACGTGGTAGACCACTTCTTAATTTAATGTTAGTGTTATATTTAATCTACATATGTCAACCAGCGCAAATATATAATTTTTCAAAAATCATCTTAAGAAACAAATTTAGTTTAAAAAGAGTAATAAGATTTTGAATTAGTTATATGATATAATATTTCTTAATGTCGGCTCATTACGAAATTTTGTGTTCGTAAATATATTTATGAAAAAAGTATATTTATAAAGTTAAAACATTCTTATCAAATCCATACACACACACACACACACACACACACACACACACAAGAGAGAGGGCCTCATTAGACAAAAATAAAAGAACCTTTTTTATAGCATCCCTAATAAATAATGATCGGAATGTGCTTCCATCAAAGACTTGTTCATCTTGTTTATCCGTTCATAATAAAGAATACTGTATAATTGGCACTACACTTCAATGTGCACACAATTCGCACACAGCCACAGGCTCGTCGTATTCTAACCTCAAAGAGTTGCTGATGCGTACCTGCATGATATGTGACTTGGTCAGTGTGTGACTAGTAAGTGTGTTATATTATACTCAGTGTGTAACTTTCCCCAAAATGTGTTATATTCACACACATAGAAACATTACACGTGTGTGAATACTATAGTGCTTGACTATTTCATACACTTGTGGATGTTTTACTAAATTCACACGTTGAAGTGTGTGTTTTATACACATTCCCTAGTGCGTTTCCCTGCTTTTCACACGTGCACATTGAGACACAAGTGCATGAACGTTTGAAAAATCATACATTACACACGTGTGACGCATTAATATTCACACATGTGTGACAGGTCTACTTCTAACAGTGTATGTTACTAGAAATGTTTTATTACATATATTATATTTAATTATTATGTCGCACTATCGTTTTATATAATAATTATAATTATTATATTATAAACTATTTCGTGGATTTCAATTTTAACTGTCACTGATGGCCGGCAACCACGGCGAGAAACTGCGGCGATAATATCGCGGGAAATACAGTCGGTTTGTAACGCACGTGGGTCGCGGCCCGCGGGTCGCTCCTGAATGATGATAATTGCTGCAAAAAGATCAACGCACTCGAAGAGGCGCACGTAAGATTATGCCGAGACGCAACGCTCTTTCGCGACTCTCATTCGCATTCTCAAGAGTTCACAATTTCACATTCTCTCGCTTCGACTTACGTGTTATCGCGGAAAGATCTAAAAAATTTGGCCGGACTCGTCTTCGCGGTCGAGGACTGACACAGATATCGATCATTCTCTCCTGTGAACGCATTCGATTGTATTCAAAAGACGAATCGTTGGAGAGACGCGCACCCCTCTTGTTTCTTGTTTCCGTTTGAGTAACAGAGTCTAAAATCCAATCTTCTATTTATTCGCGATCGCGGCTGAGTGTCGCTGCTGGCGGTTGTACGACCCTCGCGCACTTTGATAACATTTTTTTTTCCTAGCTAGAACTTTGCCTTTCCCAATCGAGGACGACTTTCAACGAGGACGATCCCACGGGTGTCGAAGCACGACTGCTCGAAGCCACTCGGGAAAGGAAATCGTACCGTTTATTTCGAAGCCCCACCCCGCGCGCATTGTTTTCACGCTCGGCTTCGGCAAGACGAATTAAGTCATGCCCATAATTTTTCCTGTACGCGTGATGCATGCCAAGTTCCGAGTTTTCCATCCGAATCGTCCGTTTCCGCGCCGACTGCGTCAAACAATGACGGTATTATACAACTGTGGGCCAAATATGCGCGACTGAATTAAATCTTCATTATGTTTCGCCAGTATAATCCGTTTGCACTATTTGTATTTGTATAATTTAGAATATAATTTATTGATATCGCGTCTGGGTCCTTCGTGTCACGATTTATACAGGAAATATTTGAAATTATATTGAGGTAGATGCTCCTTAATTAATTTTATAAATAATTTATTTTTATGAAGGGAATTCTAAAGATATTTATTATTTTTTCTTATTTTCTATTTATATTATAAATAATTCTGAATAAAAGTTTAATAAAGCTTTTTAGTAAAGAAAAAAAATTAGAGATGTCAAAATTAACATATATATTTGTCATTATTAATTATATAATTTACATTAATATTTGGATTAAAGGTATTTTTACGGATTTTTAAGAGTAAAAGTTTTAACAGTGTAATACCGATAAATAAATTTGATTTTTTATTTAGAAAGTCTCAAATAATATTTTACAAGATCTTATATACGAATTTTATATTAAAGGAACAGAATAATTAATAAAAGATAATTAAGTTATTTTAATTTTAAATTCCTAAAGTTCCAATAAAGTAATTTCTGAACAAAGAATTGACAAAAAGTCTGTATAAATCTGACGCTACTTCAATATCATCTGTATTCGACTCACACACAACTGGTTTTGCATTTCATTAACATACCACGTATCCTGCATCGGGATACATTTGGATGCAATAGCTGACGCCTTCATAAAGAATCTGATGTGAAAGATGCAAACGAGGGCGCGTCGCAAAGAAACATTTTTGAAAATGTAGAAGATTAGAAATTCTACATTTTTATTGTCGTACATATTAGGTATTAATTATGCAATACATGGAATGTTTTGCAAAATTTGTACGGTGCTTCATCAATTTTATTTTCATTTATTCGGAATAACAACCAGATCGGTTTTTTTTTATTAGAAAAAGAAGTTTCTACCAAAAGATCGGTTTATTATATTCATTCCCTTAATCAAGCATTTAACTTTATCATCGCGACTGAGAAAGATGAGAATGTCGGAAGATAATTACCGAAATATTCGGCGCTCCGTTTGGCATAATAATCTTCCGCTTTTATCCTCATTTTCACTTCGCTACTACGATCTATGCACTCATCGGCTCCATCCGTTCATCTCGAACCACTATTATCGCTGTTGAAATAAACGACCAATTAATACATGATCGATTCGTTGAGGCGCTTTCCGCTTAAGAACACAAATCAAAACTGATATAATAATAATGTTAAATTTTAATATATAAATGACACTTTTCGATATATTAAAAATACTATTTTTTAATAGAAACGCGAAAGAGATGTTATTTCTTTACATTGATCGACATTATGCCGGTATCTAGTTGAGAAATTAAAAAGAAAGTATACTGCAGGAGTCGACGAGTGTAAAACCGATCTCTAGCGTGAGGCGCGATGGAACTGAGCGGACATTCGAATATTTCTCGGGGATGAACCGACCATCGCGATGTTCGTGCTCGGCGCAGGCGCGTCGCGAAGACGGCATCGCTCGTATTATAGTGAGAGATTTTCTGGATTCACGTGGCGATCGGTTGATCATT